GAAAAGACTTGTTGCACATTCGACTCGTTTAAAATACGACAAATTTAATTGGAACTAAAACGGGTCGCAAATTCTGGGTGGCCACGGACTATCGAACAATTTAAACAAATACTGCTTAAATAGTAGAGAGTTACGAGTTTTAACTAAATCATTATTTTAAAGCATATATCAAAAATTAGAATTATTTTATTACTAAATAGCGAACATAAATATGATAATTAAAGTTTTTTAAACTTGCAAAAGAAATTTTAGTAGATCTAAAGCCTAATCAAAAGTATTCATAAATGAGAGGCATTCCTTGAGTTCAACAATACGTTGGTAAATCATATATTAAGCTGAATATAATTAAAAGCCTATTTATTAATAATAATTCTAAAATTTATTTAAAGCCGAGCAATAAGTTAACATGTTTTGAAATTTGATTTAAGCCGTGCATTTAGTTAAACTGCTCCACTGTGCACTGGTTCGAATTGCTCTTTCGCCGATCAGTCAAGTGCAAGTGGTAATTTAAAGAATCGCATCTCGAGTGTCCAATGTTGGCGCCCCCATATGCGCATAATTTCGATTGCCTTTGCTGTCGTCGTTGTTTTTGTTGTTGTTGTTTTTGGGAAGAAAGTTGAGCGACAGTGGCAGCAACGGGCAGCACTAGCAGCAGCAACAACAGCGACCAGCGGCAGCTTTTCATGTGCTCTTAAGTGAAATGAAAAGTGCATAAATAAATCTGCCGCTTTGCTGTTGCTGCTGCCAATGCTGCTGCTGCTGCTGCTATGGCTGCTGCAAGCTGTGCGTTGCAAGCTGAGCAGGCGTAGCATTCACCGAGCAACGTTTGCAACTTGACGACGCGTCGATAAGAATCGATGCTTGGCCAAAAAGCAAACGCAACACAAAAGAACTTTCGCTTTCGTTTTGGCACTTTTTTTGTTGGATTTTTGTATTTATTTTTGGTGATTTTCGTTGGCAGCGAGTAAAAGTGCGAGTGCATTATTTAAGCCATGTTTGGTTATTGAAATGCAACCGGTCGACCATGTGAAAATCGCCAGACTGACAGGCAGTGTGTGTGCCACGATATATGTGTGAGAGAGTGTGATAGAGTGCGAGAGAGAGAGAGAGGACTACAAGTACAGTATCTATAATATACATGTATTTACAACAATTATGTGCAGTTTAATGAGCCGCTGAAGTTGCCTGTCATGCGTCCGATGACTGATGAGATTGCATAAGCCACAAGGCGTGCAGCATTGTCAACAACGTCTCGATAACCCCCCTCTCTTTCTCTCTCAATTTCTCTGTCTCCCACTCAGTTGCAATCAGAGCTGCTTTCACTGTAGAATCGGTTAGAAGTGCAGCAAATGATAAACGTTTGTTGGTTGTCGCTTTTCATGTGGCGACGCCACTGTGGGGCGCTCAGCGACGAGTGATAGTAAAAGTGATAGTCGTTTTTTTTCAATACCAGATTATTATGGCTTAAATATTTTACGACTTATATAACCACACATACATAGACATACACACTCTTTCAGGCGTATCCCATCCAGTTACACACGTCAAAGCAATTAAGCTACCAAAACACACACGCACACAGGCACTTTTCTAATTAATTTCGAAATAAAAAAATCTCAATAAAATTTCATTTTCATTGACAGCCGCTTTTCAACTGCAGCTCGCCTGATGAGGCATAGCAAAACCAACAACAACAACAACAACAAAAACAACAAGCAACAAACGCCGCTTGGTACACTTAATTGACAAGTGTGAAACTTTCGATTTCTATATACACCCATTGACATACAAAAATACCGGGCAGAGCAACAACCAATAACCAACAACACATAACAAACAACCAATAACCAATAAGCAACAACTACACTAAAGAGCCTAATGATCCCGCCTGCTATGATTTGTTGTGTCTAAATGTCACAATTTTCTAAAATGACGGCTTGCCACTCAAACTCACACATGCTGCTTGATGATGCACTGGGCGGGGTGGCAATGGTGCAGGGGTATTTTGGGGGGTGTCATGCAACAAGGTGTGCTGACTGCCTGTTTGGTTGCCGTCTGTTTGCCAGCCTGACTGCCTGCCTGCCTGCCTCTGCTATCGGCTCGTCCGATGGCTTTGCTGATAATTATTGATATGCTTGGAAATGGGTGTTAAACTGGCTGCTCCCGCAGCAGCAGCAGTGGCAGCAGCAGCAGCCGTCGCAGCCGAATCTCAAATCGCAATTGACAAAAAAAAGGCAGCAGGCAATGAAATTAAATGATTAACTAACATTTGCCTCTACGCAGCCTCCTCGTTTGATTATATGGCTACCAAATTGGTGTTTACCTCGCCACCGTGAAACGTGCAAAATGGGTGAAATTTCTGACTAGCGAGTAGTTGTGGCGCCCCAACACTCAGAGAGTGTCTGGATATGTGTTTTGTGTCGCCTCGCATCGTGCTCAAGTGTTGGCCCGACGTGATTTTATACTATAAAATATATGTTTCAATTATCGCTGGCGGCGTCAAAATGATTTCAAAAATGAAAGTTGCCATATTTCAATGGAATAGCTTAATTGTGTGTGCGCGAAAAGTCGTAATCATTGTTGCCACCAAGATACACATAATGCGAAGAACAATGTGCAAATTTGTAAGACAAAGCTAAATAATAATAATAATTAACCAATTCCGTGGAAGACTTACCATGGGAAACTATGCCAAATGTGTCTCTCCAAAACAAATCCAAAACAAGCTACACATATATTTTCATTTCAATTAACCTAAGGTTTAAAAATGTACCCAAGTTTTGGGAAAGTTAAATGGCTTAGCTGGCTTTGAAGGGCATTTTTAGGTGCTTAGGTGTCCGATGACTCCAACAAGTTAAATTTAGCCTCTTCAGCGAATATAGTGATCAATTTAGATCCCATCAAAGTCTGAAGCCTTCAAGCAAAATTTCAGTTCCTATTGAAATACACGAAACGAAATCTTTTGTTTACTGTTGTATGCTGATCTAAGCAGCCCACAGCTTGCAAGTTCTCGAAAAGGACTGACTTCCCAGAAAAGAGAACAGCATCTCGTTTATATTTCATCTTTGGACAACCCATAATTAAAAATCAATTTGGCGCGCTTAGAAACGGCGCATGTCAGCCGCAAACAAACACACAAAACGTGTATTATGCAAGAGCATCAACAAAATTCAACAAATATATATAAATATATATAAAATTAATGGAGTTTGTTGCCAGAGTCTTTTGTTTTGTCAAAGGTGCAGGCAAAAGATCTCCAACAGCAGCCGCATCAACGCAAGCTGAACATATCAAGTCTCATATATCTCAAATATATTTATAATTATATATGCCGATATATATATATATATATATATATATATATAGTACAATATATTTGTGTAGCTTATGTGGAGATCACGCTATGTCAAGCATGATTTTGTTGTTGGTTCGTCGCTGAGTGTTTAAGTGTAGCTGCCGTCTCCTGCCCTACTGTCATAGAAGCTCATTAATGAGCGCACAAACTGGCATTTGACAGATTTTTTAATTAAACCATACAAATTGCAATTTTTCACGGAGAGACACGCTGACGGCACACAACCACCGAACCAAAACAAACTGTGCAAAACTATTTTAAACTTGCCTTTTCATAATGCCAGAGCTGAGCAGGCTGCAGGCAGGCGAGCTGCCCTTTTTAACCTCAAAAATGTTATGCTAACTAAAATGTTACTAATCTTATAACTTCGGTATCGAAGTAAAGCTACACGCTCAAAATGTATTTACAGAGACGGATCAAAACTGTCCAGAGCCATAACTTTCTCAAAAATGACTCGTTTTTCAAAAACTAGGCCTTTTCAATTGTGGTTTGACATCTACAAAAATACTAGATTGAATGTTATAATTATACTTTCCACTTTCTTATGGAGTCGGAGATGTCTCCTTCAATGCGTTACAAACTGCCCTTGATACTTTGATATGCCCTGTAAGTGTATGGAAATGCAATTAAAATTTTAGAATTAGCTTTTGCTGGCTTGTAGATGGTGGCCATTGTATTAAAATTTACATACGCACCAGGCTAATGTAAATTACGGCTATGTTGATTACATAATCATCATTATCTTGGGGTCCAGGCTGCACTGCTCCTTTCACTTTCTGCACAGTGCAGTGCCTAATTATTCCTGTTCGCCTCCCGCATTGCATTGTCTGGCTGAGATTTCGCACATAATTAAATTGCGCAAAAATTTACATGAAACTAATCGTTTTATTGTTTTGTCTCCGATCGCTGGCGTGTGCCATGCGGAAGCAGCGCCCTACCAAAAATGGCTGAAAACATTAGCCGACCGCCGGCTACTAGCCAACTAACGACACACAAGAAAAGAAAAAAACACGCAAGATTTATGCGCTGGAAGCCGCCAATTGGCGTCAGTCGAGATGAAATTATTGTGGAATTTGCGCAAAAGTCTCAAAACAAAAATAAGTAAATAAAATTAATTTCTTAGCTTGGCTCATTTCACTTTCGCAGCCAATTGCATAACAACAACAAATATAATAATAAAAAGCATAATTTAATTAAATTAGCTATTCTAGAGCAGATCTCGCTTAGCCTACTTCTTATGCCAAATATTGAATATTAAGCGATTTGACAGGTTGAACGGTGAAATTCTGGGCAGACTTCCAGAGAAAGTCGCGCAGTTTCAAATTGACTGTGGATCGTATTTATGCCGCTGCTACTGTGCCCGCCCCACAATACAATAATATAAGTTTAAAATAAATATAATAAAAAAAGGTTTTTTTAGTTGTAAACAAATGTAAAAGCTTTGTAACAAACTTATCACAAATTGCAATCAATTTAATCGCGAATTTGTTCAACAACATTTGCTAAAAAATGATATCACTTAACCTATTTGCTGCAAACGAGATTATTCAGAAATGCAAAATACAGAAGTTGAAGGTTGAAAGTTGAAATTCTGTGCGAACTTCAATCAGTTGCTTAGCGAACGTTGCACGGTTTAGAATTGATTATGGATCGCATTTCGATTTGCTGCGCTATCTTTTTAGCGCTGCTGCTGCTGCTGGTCTTGGTTGAGGGCGCTGCTCAGGATCGGTTTACACACATTGGCTACGACAATGGCACACACTTTGTGTTCTATCCCCGCCAGCTCAATCCCATATCACTTGGCATCTACTCCAGCCATCCCAACATTACGGCCGTTACGGAAATGTATGCATCGCCAAATCGCATTGTGAATGGCGTAAGGATACCCTGTACGCGTGCACCTTACCAAGCGGCGATCAATTTGGATGGTTTTTATCTGTGCGGCGGCACAATATTGAACCGTTGTTGGATACTCACCGCTGCCCATTGTGTCACCGAATCTGGTCGTTATACGGTGCGTGTCGGCTCCGCGCAACATCGTCGTGGCGGACAGTTGCGTGATGTGGCGTTCGTAGTGGTGCATGCCAAATACAACAATTTCACCATGCAAAACGATATTGCACTGATGCGTCTGAAGAGACCACTCCGCTACGGAAGATGTGTGGAACAGGCACGCCTGCCCACAGGACGACGGAGGCCCCAATACAATTTTCTTCTAGGCACCCAACCAGATTGCTATCTGGTCAGCGGTTTTGGCTTGGTCAGCGCGAATTCCGCGAATGTCCCGCGTTATTTGAGAGCCACAAGAGTCTGTGAAGTGCCGCAGAGTCGCTGCCAGCTAATGAATGCCAAAGCCAACGTCCGCATCTATCCGCAAATGATATGTGCCTATCGTCGTGGTGGCCATGACAGCTGCATCGGAGATTCAGGTGGACCGCTGGTAAGCGATCGACGCGAAATCATCGGCATCGTTTCCTTTGGCATTGGATGTGGCGACCCAAAATATCCGGGCATTTATACTCGCGTCGCACACTACACAAGATGGATACGCCGCGCCGTAAGACGCTATCCTTCCTGCCTATAAAATGATCTGCATAAATATATAAAGAAGTGAAAGAAGTTGTAACAAAGTCCAGTTAAATTACCATTTTAACATGTCTTTCAAATTTATCTAGAGACAAAATCATTATTAAAAATGCAGGGCTTTAAAAATCGTATAATTTTTAAGAAAAATATGTTTAATGTTAAATTACTAAAATTTCTATGTACTACGAAGCAATTCCAAATTTAAAAAAAATTGAAGCTTGGCTTTTTATGTGAATTTCGTTATTTCATAGCTCATCTTCCTTCCTTATTTTTAAGATTGTTTTCACTGTTTAGTTTGTTGCATACACACACACACAGTTGTAAGCTGGCGGCTGCAAATGTGTGTAAATTATGTATTTGTGCACTTTTGATTTCATTTAAACGAAGTTTCCTGATGGCCCCCAGCGCATGTCAAATATCAAAACCAAATCGCGTCGGGGCAGCCACTTGCGCAACATCACATCCCCACATCCATATCCACAACAGCCCAGCTCAGCGCAGCTCAGCTGGCCAAATATCACTGCCATATGCAGTGGGCGTGCTCCGTTAATGCTGCTGCTGCTACAATCTGGAATCCCTCTGCGTACTCCTCTCTGAAATTAACATAATCGTGCTCAGCCTCTGCCCGTCCGTTATTGTGGCGCCCCCACCAAACAAAGTGTTGAGTGCTGGCGCTGGCTGTCAAGTGGTAACTGCCAGGCATACAAGATCACAGAGGGGGGGAGGTGAGCTGTGGTGCTTTTTTGGTCGTTTAGCACTTTTGCTTGCAACAATGTTGTGCAATGCGAGCATCAAAAATTGCTGCAACTTGCCTTGAATGTGTTTTGTTTTGTTCGTTTTTTGTTGTTTTGTTAAAATCAAGTTTTAATCATATGAAAATATGCTTTAAAATTTTACTTGTTTTAGCACGTGTGTGTATATGTATATATGCGTGTGTGTGTGTGTGTATACATGTATATTTGTTGTGTATATGTATATGTAAATAGTGTATATGTGTGTGTGTGTGTGTTGTGTATGTTTAGCTACATATGTAAGTTAATAATATATATATATGCGTGTAAATCTCTTAAGCATTTCCATATCAGTTTATGTTTGATTTTTTGTGTTTTTTTTTTATATATTTTGTTTATCATTAAGTTACGCTTATACAATTTTTACGTATTCTAACCTAAATGTATACCATTTTTGTTTTAGTTTTTTATAATATTTTGTTAATGGTTTCTTTTTGTTGTAAATTTTAAACTATTTGCTATAAAAATGTTCAACAGCAAAAATTATATGCATTGCATTATTTGTTTTTCTTCCTCATTTTTGAAAGGTGGCCCAAAAGCAAACGCACAAAAATCCTAGTTAAAAAATTACATAAAAATGTGTTTTCCTTTTGTTTTAAAAAATTAGTTATTTTTGTAACTTTTGCAATCGTTTCTGCTGTGCCCGCCACACAATAAATAAATTTCGCAAAAAACGTAAAAAATTTAAAAAACGTTTACAATTACAAAGCACATACACAAAAAAAAGTTTTGTTGTTGTTGTTGTTGTGGTTGTTAATGTGAATATCTTTTTTGACAATGCACAAATTTTAAAGCTATATAACAATCTTCTTCCTTATCGCGCTGCATTTACAATTTTGTTGTTTTTAATGAACTGATCTTTATATATTTGTTTTACTTCTCTCATTTTCGTTTTTTGTTTTGTTTTTGGTTTTTAATCGTTTCCATTACGAAATTACACAACAACGTTTAACAAGCTATGAAATAAATTAGTTATAGGCTGCCAATTTGGGTAACCGATTTGACTTGGACTCAACAACATTTGTTGAGCTTAGGCTGTAGACCCTCAGTGCTGTTTATACTCATATTATTAATATTATTATCTATACATTTGGAGTAGTTATTTCAAAGAGCTATTACAAATATGTTAAAAAGTTTTGAAACTGCTGTTGAAGCTACACACACATTGCACATTGGATTCAGTAGCAGCTATTGTTGGTGTTTTGGTATCTTTTTTTGTTGTTGTTTTTGTTGTTCTCGTCGTCGTTGTTGTTGTTTTTGTTGCTGTTGCTGCTGTTGTTGTTGTTGGTGGTGGTGCTGTACAACACATCACATGTTTTACAGTTTAATAATACTTTCTTACACATAATTTTGTAATCAATTAATTCATATTTTCATTTTGTTGTTGTTGTTGCTGTTGGTGTTGCCGTTGTTGCTCTTCCTCTTGTTAAACAGTCCCATGCACCACCCCGACAATGTGTTGTTGTTTTTGCTGCTGTTGTTATTGATATTTTGGCTGCTGTTAATTGTTGCTGCTGCTGCTGATTGACTCCTCCCACTTATGACAGAAACGGATTCGTAGCGGTTGCCTCCGGCTTAATCCATGGCATGTTGTTATTTTGCTGCAAGAATTTTAAATAAGAAATTCAATTAAAAAGTTCTCAAAACAGAAGAAATACGCAAGAAATTCAGCTAAAATGGAAAGCAAATTTTGGACTACATGCAGTTTTTGCTAGCAGCTACATTTATTTTTATTTATTTTTGTAAATATTTAACAGTTGATTAGTTTGTTAGTTTAGTGTATTTAAGTTCGCCAACAAGTGGATATAAAGAGAGGAATTGTTATTACGGATAGAGGAGCAGAGAGGAGAGCATGCACATTCGAAAAAAACATTTTACCCATTTGCATTGTATTGCATTATTGCATATTTGTATGTATTTTATTTAAGCGTCCAAGCCTCCATTGTTGGCTACAATTAGAAAATTTTATGGTCAACTGTGTTTTTTTTTTTGTTTTGGGGCTGATTTAGCAGAGCAGCGCTGCTTGGTTAATATGAGTACGTAAGTATGTATGAGCAATTATTCAAATGCAGGGAATGAAACCGTTTAGTTGTCAAATTAAATAGATTTTCTTTACATTTTAAAAAGGGAATTAAATATTTTAAGCAAGCATTTACAACACATTTAGGTAGAATTTTCAAATTGAACAAGCTTGTTATTATTTTCAGTTTCATTCCCTGGCCAGATGGACTTTCTTAAGCACTTATTAGCTAGTATATCATACGGTTAAGAAATCAAACAAAATCAAATTCAAATAAAGCAATAAAGTAATAAGAAACAAACTAAATAAAACTCAAGCAAAAGCAACGATCACAAATCACAAATCATTTCTGGCAAAGAGCAGCAGCAACAGCAGCAGCAGTATTTAATAATTATAAACGACAACAAGAGCAACAACGAGTTGGGGAAGAATGCGACGAGCGAGGAGCGACAAGCGACGAGAATCGAGATTCCAAACGCCCTCACAGAACTCACTTCCAGTTTGCAGTAATTGCCACTCGCGGATGTGTTCGAGGAGTTGCCATAGAAACCACTATCATCGTAGACAATGGGTGAAATGCTAATGCCCGGTGTCTCGGCCAGGGATTCGGATAGGGCGCTACTGTAGCACTGAGTGTAGCTGGAATACCCACCAGGAGTGCTGCTATGACTGTATTGCCCAGTCGAAGGCGCCGTGGGGCTAGGGAAATAGGAACGTTGCTCCGTCTGCGTCTCGTTTAAGATGTCCATGTTGCGTATGCTGTCAATTGCCGGACTGTTGTAGCTCCGGTTGAATCCATAGTTGTAGCTGTTGTTGTTGTCGCTTATGATGTTGTTATTATTATTGTTGTTGTTGTGGTAGAGCTGCGTGCTCGGCTGTGGGTTGGAGGACACGATTGGTGGTGGTTTATTGAATACGCTCAACAGCTGAAAATCATCGCTCAGCTTCAAGCTGGTCGGCCGCAGTGGCTGCAATGGCTTTGCCTATGTTTTTTAAGGATTCGAATTTGGATTTGAGCGTTGCATGCAACACAATTGCTCGAAATGATGAAAGGTGACGACAACAATAAGATAAAGAAAACAAAGAGCAAACATACGAAAGAAGGAAACAAAATGCAAGTGAGAAGGAGTAGGGGGGCGGAGAAAACGATAAGAGTAAAGTAAAAAGTACCAATAAAAATGATTAGAGATATCAAAGACAACCTCAAACATAATATATATAGATATATATGTATAAAGTAAGTAAATTAACTGAATTACCTAAACGAACTTTGCCCAAATTAAAATATATACCCTACTGTAAGCACACACACACACACACGCACGCACACTCACCTGAGAGGCTGCGCTGACGCCGCCGCTAACCGGCGCCCAAGGATCCTGATTCATGTTGACGGGGAAGGGCGGTTGCTGTTTCAACTGATTGATGGACGGCACCTAACCAAAATGTACAAACAAAATGTGTATTTAGTTTATGGGGTATTTATTATATCGGATATACTCACGGCTGGCTGCTGTTGCTGGAATAGATTTGTTTTCGGTGGCATCACATTGTCGGCAAACGGATTGTAGGCGGGTGCCAGACCGGATTGTGTCTGCGGCGTATTCGGTTTGATCAGATTATCCAGATTGACCAGTGCCGAGTTCTCGCCGAGAAATGCGAGCGGATCCCGATACGGTTTCTTGGTTGTGGCGCCCGTCGATGGATGCACAGAGACACCATTGTTGCCATAATTTGTCGAAAGCGGATCCATATCGTCCAGCAGCGAAGCTGTGAACGCACAAACCAGTTAATAATTAGAAACAGAGACTGTGATCTGTGGCAACTAACCATTGTTGTTGTTGTTATTGGAGGCATTGGAATTGTGTTCGGCACTTTTATTTCGATTGGTTATCAAATCGAACTCATCAAAGTCGGGCGATTGTTTCTGCAATTTAAAAAGTTATCAAAATTTGAATCTGTAATCGATTAAGGTTCTTCCAAGCAAGCTCACCTTCACGGCGCCTGTCTGCATTGCCTTCCAGGGATCATCGAGCGCTGCTGTGGCTGCTGGCTGCGCTGCCGCCCAGGGGTCAGCTGGAGTTGCTGGCGGTGCTGCTGCTGGTTGCGGTTCGGCTAGCCATGGATCCGCTGAGACGCCATTGCTACTAGCATTGTTGGCGCCATGCGACGGAGGCGCTGCAGCAACAAGGCCAGCGTTTGCCGTTGATTTTGTTAGCCAGGGATCGAGTGGAGCAGGCGCTGGCATACGTCCATTTTGGCTGGCATTGCCATTGGTCTGTAGCCAGCCCTCGTTGGAGGAGCCAGACGCCACTGATGGAGACTGTGTGCGCATGCACCACGCGTCGCCGACCTGAGCTGGCGCAGCTGCAGAGCTCAGCGGCACACCGGTACTCATGATGGTGCGTGGCGCTGCCACTGTATCCGGACGCCAAGGTTGCACTGGCCACGGATCCGACAGCTGGCTGCCGGAACGGGCCGTTGGCGCTGCCCAGGGATCAACAATAGGTGCACCGCCTGCAGCGCCCAATGGTGGACTCGAAATGCTTGTTGCGCCCAACGAGATATCCAGCAAGTCCAGCAAATGGCTCTGTTGTTCCTCTTTCTTGGGCGCCGCTACTGGCCGTCCGCTTGGATCTCTGTGCGCGTTGGTTGGACTATTGTGATTAAGTTTGAATTCAAGTAAATATTTCGTTTGGGCAGTACTCACTTAAAGTCCTGCTCGCTCTGGCTGAGCGCCAGCTGGAGACGCACATCGTCGCTGCGTCGTTTGGCCTCCTCCTGTTCGGCCTCTTCGCGCGACATGGCCATCGCCAACTGTAGCTGTAGCTCCTCCTCGCCAGCCGTCTGGGGTCGCACCATCTCGAGCTCGGAGGCATTTTTGGGTGGCTCCTCCTGCCAACCAGGCGGCAAATCTCGTTGCGATGGCCCATCAATGTAGCCATCGCTGCCAAAGCCGCTCGGATGCAGAGCGAAGCGTTCTTTGGCTTTCAGCGCCTTGACACGCTCATTCTTCAGCCGCTCGTCGTCCTTGAGCAGATTGACAAGCTGTTTGGCCTTCTCGCGGACATGCGTGCCCTGATCCTTGCCCTCCTCGAAGTAGACAAATTCCCGTAGCGTTTGTATGGCAAAGATGTTCTCCTTGCATTGCTGGGCGACCTTTTCGGTGCCCGTTTTGATCAGATACTCGAGTAGGATGAGCGCCTTGTAGACGTGACGCCAATTCTTGCCGTGATCATTGAGCCGTTTCCATATCATTTGCATTATCTCCGAGAAGGCGACCACATTATAGGTTAGATCCGCTATTTCGGCCATAATTGTGGCCGATGGCCCCCACGGATCATTGGAAGTGGCCTCGCGCACCTTAACCTGAGGTGAATATATTCAATTCATTAGTTTTATGAATGTTTACAACTCGCATTCTTGCTCACCTGTGCATCGGAATAGTTGTGCGCGAGATTCTTGATGTTTCTGCGTAGTCCGGCGACATTGACCTGCATATCGTCTTTTTGTTTCCTCACTGTGTGACGAGAAGAGTTAGGAGAGTTGTTAACATGGCTATGACTATGTCGATTGGCTACATCTACAGATTATGTTTTGTTTGTTTGTTTTAGGATTTGTTTGTTAAATATCTCTAATATATATGTAACTGTCACTGTTCCACGCTCCTGCTCCGCAACATTCAGTATAATTTGTAATTGTTAATTGTTTTGTTTTTGTATTTTTTTTGTTTTGAGTAATTTTGTCTGTAAATTGACAACAACAAAAAATTCTGTGCTGAAATGAATAATGTCACATGTTACAAATATGGGAAAAACAATAACACAAACACGAAAACACAAATAGATCCCAATATATTGCACAGGAGCTCAGCATCCGCGGTACAATTTAACACTGAGTGTGTTGTGGGTGTTTTTTGTGCAACTCTATGTGTCTGAGTGTGTGTATCTGTGTGTTGTCGAAACTCAAAAGCAAATGAGGGTCGATTTCATTTTAATATTGTAAATCTAGGCAAATACTTGACTACTTATGTGTACTTAATCTGCATGTGACTTGAGTCTAAATATATTCAACTTAAAACTGATTAAAAATTGTATGTGATAAATATTTCGAGCGTGGCGGAAATTACTGATTAATTTGTGAACAGAATAATCAATGTCTGAATGTAATTTATATAATTTTATTGTGTTGCTGATTCTTTGAATTTATTAAATGGCTTTGTTTATTGGATAGCCCTGTTTTGAATAATTCATCTAATGTGTTGTTGGCATTTTAAGGACTCGTTTCATAAAGATTTCTCATATTTAGACTTACAGTAACAAAAAAAAAACTAAATCGAATACTTTTCTCTTACGTCACTTATTTCTATCTGTTAAGCTAATATCAGAAAAAAAAAAAACATTCTTGATAGAGTCCAGAAGTGCTAATAAAATGGAGTCAATCAAAACAAGAAAATAAATAATAATAAATACATTTGATGAATGACGAATGTTGCCCACATGGTAAGTTATTGTGTGTAGAGTTTAACAATTATTTGATACATAGTATATATATATTATATAGGCGGTGTATTTAGTAAAATTTATGCAAAGAAAACATTAAGACTTACTTTTCGTTTGTTTTTTGCGTTTGACTTATACAAGTAGATTGCTTTCGATATATTTTCTTTTTTTGTTATGCTTTTTCTATATATGCTGTATATAGAAGGTGTTTTTCTTTTTTTTTAAATTGCTTGAATTTTTGCGCAAATTTCTTTAGCTTTTGTTTGTTTTTTTTTAGTTTTTTGTTTTTGCTGTTTAAGTGCTCCAAAGCAAGCTAAGTATGAGATACAAGATAGATACAGTCAAAATACATAGTATAAAAGTACATATATATATGTTGGTATATATAGAGATAAATAATGTCGTTGTTTTCTTTCTTTTCTACATGTGTGCATTATAAAGCACACAAAAAAAAGATAATGTATGATAAAATCAACATTTACAGCAATAGAAAACAAAAAAACTTTGTTAAAGCTTTTAACAATCTCAATAAGTTTTAAGAATAACAAAAATAATGACAGTGCTCGTCAAAGGTTCAAGTTCAAAATTCTCCACTCCAATCAAAATACAGAGAGAGAGAGAGAGGGAGATGAAGAAGTTAGCCTTTAGCACTAGAAAGAATGAGAAATAGTAAAACTGGTAATTTTATAATTCAATTTGCGTACCAGCAAAGTGTGCAAAGTGCAAAAATAAACAAAAACTCTACGGAAATAACCTAGAGAGTCGACTCTCAGATGCTCTCTCTCTCCCTCTCATTCTCTTTTGATTCAATTAAATACAAACTGAATTAAAACACAACACAGCTAAAACGAACTCAAGGTTTGTCCGATTATTTAAAATTTAATAAAAGACGAGACTATAAATATGACGAGCCGGCTTAGCTGCCCTTTATTCATGCACTGTTAGCGGTTGCCAATTTGAAGAAGCCACATAATTGCAATGGGAACAGAATAGAACTGTAGTGGGAACAGTTTGTGGAATAGGCAAAATGACGACTAAGCTGCATTATGCATTATGTGAGGCTAAGGGGGTAAGAAGAGGATGCAATTATAGCAAACACATCGACTTTTATTCAGTCCAAGATAATCAAAGCGCGAAAAGCAATTTTTTCTTTGTTTGGTTTAAGAATCATAAACAACTTTGGCGAAAGTGGCTGAAGCAACGTAGAAAATAAACAGCTATTTATGCCAGAAAGACGTCAAGCACGCATACAATCACACAATCACACACGCACACACATGAAATCATATTGATGCCCATTTACTGTTGATAAGTTATCAGATAGCGTTAAAAGCCTAGGTTATTTGTATGTTTGCTAAGGTCACACATATACCCATTTTCACACAAATAGATTCGAGATGGAATTCGTAGTTCGCACTTAAGTGCGAAGAACGCACTTGACACATATTACAAAGCCGGCTTGAAAGAAACTTCGTGCAGAACTCGAACTCAAAAGCTCAAACTCGAACTAGTCGAACGGGTCTGCATACATATATGCGTATGTGTATGTATATGCATAAGTGTGTGTGTGTTTGTAGATTTGTGAATGCTGTGGGATTCATTGACCGCTCGTCGGTTGTAATAATGGGCCGTGCGTGAAGATCAGCGGAGAGAGAGAGGGAGAGAGAGAGCTTTAAATGCGGGCCGGTGGTTAACGGTTTGTTTGTTTTGCTTCGCTTGCCCACTTGCACAGACCATCGCCCTCTCTCCCCGTCTCACTCTTTCTGTAGAAGAAACGAATAATTGAATTAAATGTCGCATAAAAAAAAGAAACCACAACAAAAAGAACAGAAAACAAACCAAGCAAATGAAGTCAGAGGAATTGGAATTGAGTAGGAAGGGGAGGTGCGTTGTTGTTGTCTCGTCTGTTGCCTGAACTTGAATGCCAGGGACAAAGCAGCAATCTGCTAGAAAGAGAAAAATATAGAGAGAGAGAGCGCAGCGAATTTGTGGGGTGGCAATGAGAAACGGGCACTTTTTCTTTGTTGTGGCGCTTTATTTTTGCACTTGACTTTTGTTGCGACGGCGACGGTTTTTATTATTGCCAAAAACGTTGTGTATGTGTGTGTGAATGTCTTGTGTTTTACTTTGTTCCAAAACGGGGGAGCCTTGAATTTAAACAGCAGGTTCAATGAACGTCTCGGCGAACAAAAAATCAAACAAACAAGCGGAAGCCCCGCACTGCAGCAAGCGAGAGCTTTAGCCCGATCGAGATCACAAGCGATACTGAGCGAATGAACGACTGAGTGCGTGATGCGAATTGATACGAATGTGATTTAAATGGCGACCAGCGACCGACAACGAAAAAAAAGAAAACAAACAAGCAACTTGTGCACATTAGAAAAAATTTGATTTATATTTTTTTTTCCTTTGTTTTGCTTTGTTGTGGTCTAATGCTATTAGGAACCCTTTCGTCGACGTTTATCGTTTAGCGCAGTGTTGCGAATGTCTGCGCAATCGATAATGTGGGGTCCGAAACCGTCTATTCGAAGCTTGCGCATAACACAACAAGATTGTCCCACTGTGCAGCAAACCTGATCTTACGCTCTTTCTATCTATTCTCTTTTTCTCCCCTGTTTATTTCTCTTTTTCTAACAGTGCATTTTTGTGCAGGCGGACGAACAATTTGGGGCGTGAGTATCGCTATGTCTGTGTGTGATAACAAATCAACAAACTATGCGATTAGATTTCATTAACTAGAATGTAGAATTCATACTGATATGGGGTATTTTGAAGAGAATTCCACTATTCAGTATGATTATTAGTCATTTCTTAAAACATAAACCAGTTTAGAAATGGGCCGCGCGATGACTAAGCGCCGAGACAATAAACAGATGGCTATGACGACTGACGAAGAACGAACCGGCGAATAATAATTTGTGGCAACTGTTTATCAACAAAAAAAACCACAACTAAAAATCACTGAGTTTTGCATATATGTAGAAGACACAAAAATAACAACACAACAGTATCATACACACACACACATACACATACATATATATGTATATTATATTTATGTACAATAGGTTTGTTTTTTTTAAAGAGAAACAAAAACTAAAAGCAAAAAAATAAATAATTAAATATATAAAGCTTGTGCCAAAATGCCAGCAACAAAATACGAAAAACACAAATACACAGAGAGAAAAACTACTAAGAAATGCTCTCGCCCCAAACGCAGCCCCCGTCCGCTTACCTGCTGCAATACTTCTGACTCTTCCTCTTCCACTTCCACTGTCACTGCCTCTTCCTCTTCCACTGTCTCTGTCTCTTCGACTGCGGTTTTAACTCTGCTTCTTTCCTGCGTTGCGCTGCTGCTGCAGTTAGTTCGTTTGTGTATGTGTGAATGCTGTGTGTGTGTGTGTGTGTATGGCTATGTATATAGCTCAAAAAAAAAAAACAATGACAACTATACTCCTCCCAGCTAGTTCTTTTTTTTATATTTTTACGACTTTCTTTTTGAATGCCCGATAGTCACAAGACGATGACAACAACGACGGCGACGTCAACAAAACTTGCAGTCGACGAGCACAAATTATAATTGTATGGTTGAAGTGCACGCGTGGGCGATTTATACACTCTTTGCACCACAAAACACGAAATATAGCCAAATATATAATAAGAGTAGCGCCGAGCAGAGAAATGATTTTCTTGTTTTGTATGGCTTTTTGCGTTTGCTTTCTTTTTCTGCTGCTGTTTTGCTCCGTCTCCTTTCGCTGACGATGGTATTATTGAACATAACGATACATCGATATACGTTTGGGAAAATCAACTATCGATTACTACAAATGCTTGAACAGTCGCTTAAATAACCCCAAGCAAGGAAAATTCCAACGAAGGAGCAGAAGTTAATGCTGCATTTTAAGCTGATTTTTTTGTTTGTCTTGTATTCCTAACAAATGACACATGTTGAATCACATTAAGCAACGAATTATTAGCTTAGCCTTTTACAGCAATCAAATGTATTTTCTGTGGGCGCTTCTTGTTTGCAGCATTAATTTAAGATAAGCTGGAACAACAACTACTTATGCAGACCCGTCGCCTCAGCTTCCAGCAGATCAACTAAACATATCGGCAAGTTGGATATTGTTTTAGATTAACATATCAGTGCTGACTGACATGAACAGCGATAGTTATGCAGCCCCGGTCAATCGAAACTGTTAAGAATAATCGCTGTTAGCTCACCAACTCGAACTGTTATCAATTTGAAAATTTCAAATTTGTTCGAATTTTTAAGCTTAGTGAAATTAGACTAGATAATAATGTTTTGTTTTTATTTACGACTTTATTTAGAATACCATTTTCATTTTTTATATAATTAGGCGCTACAAACTAAATTCATTTGTTAACCAACTGATAACAATATAATTTCTTTCTTTCTTTTTTTTTGTCGTGTGTATGTGCGTTGCTACGGTTGGTGTGAGTGTGTGTATGTGTGAGTGTGTGTGTTTTTCTCGTTTTTTTTTTAACATTAACTCGATGCGTATGCGTTTGATTTGTATTTGTGTTTGTGTGTGTATTTTTTTTTAATATATTCTGTTTACACGCTGAACCCATTGAAAATGGGAAACAGGGTATAAAGAAGTTGTGTTTGTTTTCGTTTTTCGTTTAATGCTAAGTACCTACTTTTAAACTTTTCAACGTACATATATATATGTATAAATATATGTGTATATAGTTATTAAATATATATATATATATATATTTATATTCGCTGCTGTGAGTCGATTAATTTGCGCCCCTAGCAATCAACTTAAAACTTAAGCCTGTTCCTTATCAATGTCCTTTTTTGTTGGGTCCATCATCGTCCTTATCTTCATCATCATCAGCATAATCCTCCTCTGATAGTAAACAACAAAAAACTCGGCTTACAATCGAAATCGAAATAATAACTAAATTAACTTAAACGACAAAAACATACGATCCAAAAATTCGTTCGTTACGCTGCCACGCCCCACAAAAAAAAGAAGGAGAACACCCAACAACGCCGCTGTCGCCGCCCACATCCTGCTCACAAAAAACTTGGCCCAAAATGGCCAGCCAATGCCAGCCATTCACATTTAATTATTTAATTGCCGAGCTCGCCTCCTCTGCGGCCTGCTCACACCTCCGGCGGCTCTTCGGGTTTTTGGAGATTCTGTGCCGCCTGCTCCACCTCCAGATCGCCGAGCAGCACCGAATTCGACTGCGAATCGGTGTCCAACTCGAGCAGATTCGATTTGCTCGATGGTGACGTTGGCGCCAACACCACATTCGGTATATAGTCAACTGTTTCATATTCCGTTTTGGCCACCTCCTCCTCGAGTGGCGGCTGCAGTTGTCCCTGCTGCTGCTGCTGCTGCTCCAACTGATCCTTCTCCATGTTCCGTTTCTGTTCGTCCAGCTGCTGCTCAATGGGCAAGCCAGCTGCGGTGGCATTACTATGTCCAGCTCCTGCTTCGCCCGGCGCCTCATTGGCCGTCGTCAGATTGGGCTCCTCGATGTCCAGGACGACGGGCAGCGTATCATTTGGCTGTGGCGTCGTTGTTGTCGTTGAGGTTGTTGTTGGCGCCGTGGTTGTTACCATTTCCACAGCACTTGGAGTTACCGTTGTTGTCGCAGCTGCAGCTGCAACTGTTGTTGTCGTTGTTGTTGCTGGTGTTGTTGTCGTTGTGCTCGTTGCATTACTGTTGTCCAGCGCCACATGCAACTGCAACACGGGTGCAAGTGGTGGAGGTGTTGTGACAACAACCGCAGGTATAATCAATGGATTTATTATGGGTTGTCCCAGCCTCTTAATATAAGGTGGCAACAGCTCTTCGCTGTTCTTGATGGGTATCAGCGATGGAACGATCATCTGCATTTTCGGATTCTCTGCATCGCCGATCTTGACGATCAGCGGCAGATCGATCTTGTAGAGCATGGGCAGCACTGTGCACACCTCCTGATCATTCTCAAAGCACTGCGAACGTCCCCTAATCCTGGCATCCTGCGCCGCCATCAAACGACAGATCTCGTTCAAGCCAACATCACACATTATGGGATTGTCTGCAAGCAAATTGAAAATGGGGAAACAGATGCTTAGCCATATTTGCTGATTTGAAGCAGATTTGTTTCTCAGTGTACATTGCCTTCTGATCACTCACCATCCAGATTTATCTCCAGTTTGCCGGGCACATTGTGAGTCCTGCAGCGCGTATTCGTAACTAGTTCGCTTGAGATGGTCGTAATTTGGTTATTGGTCAGATTCACCTGGCACAGCACAGGCAGCCCATAAAAGTCTCGTTCCAGTTTGCTAATATTATTATAGGCCACCTTTAAAACCCTCAGATTCGGCAGCAAGGTCTGTGAAAAGAGTGATCCAAATGGGGATTATTTGCCTGCCAATTGAAGAGGCACGTTTTTCTTACCGTTTCCAATTGCTTAAGGTCAACCAATTGATTGGCGGTCAAGTCGAGTATTTCCAGACGATTCATGCCAGTCAGATCCCCTGGTAGAATGGACTCGATCCGATTCTTCGATAGGCTGAGTATGCGTAGATAACTTAAACCGGCCAGAGCCGAGTCCAAGGTGATAATCTGATTATGATCCAGTCGCAGATCGATCAGTGGCAACTCCGACATAGATTTATGTCCGGGCAACAGACGTTTGATGCGATTGTAGGAGAGATCGACCATCTTTAAGGAGCGCAAACCGTGCAACTCCTCCATAGAGAACTCTTCGATGTCATTGAACGAGAAGTTGCCAATCTTCAGCTTGAGCATGGGATGCAGCGAGTAGTTCAACGACCCAATATGATTACACGCCAGATGCAATGTCTCCATCTGCCAGCTAGCCAGGAATTCATCCTGTGCCAAGTACTCCAACTCATTGTTGTTCGCCAAGAGCTCGGTGAGATTGGGGGCATTCCGCAGCACACGATCAAAGGATCGCAAGCGATTAAAGTGCAAATGAACCGTCTCCAGATTATCCATAGTCACCAGATTCGAGGGCAATCGCTCCAAGCGATTATTGTGTGCCATCAGCAATATCAATTTACTTTTATCCGGCAATTGGCCATCCAGATCACTTATGTTATTCGCATTGATGAACAGCGATTGTAGCTCGGTCAGGTCGTGTAAGGATCCATTTAGCGATTCAATTTGATTGCGGCCCAAATGGAGAATGAGCAGGCTCAATGGGAACGCGCCTCGATCGAGTCGTGTTATATTGTTGCTCGGCAATATCAGATTCGTTACCATTTGTATGCCCTTGAGATCGTCTTGCTGCACGGCTCGGATGTTGCAACGTGCAATGTCAAGCGTCTGCAGCAGCGGCATGTGATTCAAGACATGCTTCGGCACCTCGTCGAGTTCGTTGTCGCCGACGCTTAAGTAGGTGACATTCGATAACCCACGAAATGGCAGCTCTGGCAGCGATCTAAATATAGCAAACAAAATATACAATATGTATTAATAATAATAAGAAAGCCATTATAAAAACAACAACAACAACAACAGCAACAACAATAACAACAACAAAAATATTTATAAAGATGCCGTGAACAGATTTTGATTGAGAACACATGCTAAAGATAAGAATGGGACTTGATCTTTACTATTTAGATTTTAAAGATATTTTATTGACGTATCTAATATGTGTCATATTCAGGTTAAACTTATAAATAGGCTGGCAGAAAATAAAAAATGTTGTATTTATGGTTTATACACATTTAAAAACAGTTCTGGGAATGAAAAAACCGATAAAGCTCTCAGCAAATATATATGTACTCAAATATTATGTTTTTCACAGTAAAATCATTAATACATTTAATGCTAGCAAAAATTTAAATGCTTGTCGATATATAAACATGTATAATTATTCACTTCTTTAAACAGTTTTGTGATTGAAAATCGTAAAAGATTCAATGGAAATAAAATAAATATCAGCATGAATTGCTTTTTATATTAAGATGTTGTTTTTTATAAAAGGGTGAAATTGAATGAGTTATTATTGCATACTTTTGGGCAATGACAAGAACTAAAAGTGGCAATTTATTATTTAAATATTTTTTGTAAACTTAATTTAAAAAAAAATAGACAACTTCACAATATACAAAGAATTCAGTTATTCGTTATATTCAATCAAAAAAATTATTTTGAAGATTTCATTACGCTTCCAAAAATGAAATGAAATATTGCATTTGATGGAAAAAAAGATAGGAACTGAATGAAAAATATTTTTTCATAAATTTTATGAGATATTTGTTATAATATTTGTTACTTTTTTTTTGCATGAGTCGTTGTTTTTTAAACGAATTTGATAGAACTTTCATACCAGTTTCCCCAGAAAATCAGTGTGTTTATTTTTCATATGTTAACCTGATCTAAGCTGAACGATAATGTTGAACAGAAATTCTATCACCTAAAAAGTCGATGACGCAGCTTATCAGCGACCGTATTGGGCCAGTTCTATGTCTGTTTGGGTAGCCATATTTGTATATGTATAAATATATATATGTATATATGTATCTGGTGTAGAAATATTTGTGTTTGTTGTTGCAACTTTATCGATGGCTATTAAGTTGCTAGTCGCCGTCGAGGCGCCAAATGGTCGCATTATTCATGATGATGAGAACTGGGCCTGGCTGGCGTGCAAATTGGCCCGCTGGCATCCCAGTGGACATCCTTGGCGCCGTTATTGGCAGCAGACTACGACGCCAGCAGCAGCAGCAGCAACAATGTTCACTGATTGGCAGTCAGCTATTTTTAGCCTGCGCCTGCGTCGAGACACTTGATCTTGATTGATTGCTAGTGTCTTGTCAAGCATTGATTATGTAATGAGGAAAAGCGGAGTCTGCGGCAAGCAGACAGCAGCAAGTCAAGTTGCAAGGATGATAAACGACGGCAATAGATACCGAGTATTGTATATATAATTTGTGGACGTAGCTCGCGCGTTGAACTTGAGCACATATCGTACAAGATAAACACACACACACATCTATATATATATATATATATATATATGTATATAAATATATATATGTTTATCCATATATATTTATACATTCATAATATAGATGTATATGTATGTGCGAAAGACAATTCCTTAACGTCAGTCATATAATTGTCACACGACCTAAACTGGCCTCTTGATCATTGATTGAACGTAATAATAAAATTCAATTGGGTCTCTGCAGCTGCCTCACTCTCTCACTCGCTCTCTCTTTCGCTCTTTCGCTCTCTTTGCACAAACTGAGCTGACCCCAGCAGACGAAAAAAAAAAGAAAAAACAATAATAACAATAACAATAACAATTACAATAACAAGAAACAACGGAACATTCCATTTCCAAGTAATCATTAGGCGGTTTTGGGTTTTTTTCACTTCATATTTTTTTTCCCCAAAAGCGAGAAAAAACATAAAAAAATAAAGAAAAAAACAAAGTTTTGTATAAACTTTATGTTGATTGTTTACTTTCTTAAAGCCTTAATATATTATACATTGTATATATATATATATATATAGATGTTTAATATGTAGAATCGAATCGAGTAGTTGAGACTTTGACTGTTATCACATGGAATGCGTGGAAAGCGGAATATTCCATAATAATAAGAAATTATGTGTAGCTATCATACATTAATTAATTGTCAACACTTTTCGCACTTTTTCAGGGCTGCACTCGTTGAACTATAATCAGAGGCATATATGCGTATTCATATACCCAGATCAGTTCACTATATGAAGACATTGTTGCATGTTGCCAGTGTTGGCTCGTTATCAGCCTGAGAAAAACAAAACAATACGATTGCAATCAATGCATCAGGACGCCACATGCTGCATTCATAAGTAAGTAAGTATTCAACACATTGTGGCACACTATTTGCGGCTTAACCTTTTTAGCATTCTGATTAGAAATTCCCTATAAAGCTGTTGACAAAAAAAAAAAATAATAATAATAAAAAAAACCACAGCAGTTTTATTGAAGTCGCATTGTGATCATTGAGTGATCGTAAAAGTGATCATTAAATTCACATTATCAACTTGGCGCCAGTCATAAACTTATGACGAGCGCCAATCGTTAAAACAGCTGCTCTTATCACATATATATATATACATATACATATAAACATACATATATACATAGAAACTTACATGCACACACACATTCCCATTTGATTTAGCTTAACGTAAGAAATTCCAAATTTATTTTACGTTCATTTACTTGAACGAAGTTGGTAAAAAGAAAAAAATGTATGCTTTGCGCAGAAAGCGCTGAAGAAATTGTATTAAATGATTATTAACTAATGGAAATTCAGGCCAAAAATGATGTGTTCAACTTAAAAATTGTTAATTACTTCCGAGTTTTTAATTTGGTCAAAGAGATTACCAAGTTGGAAAAAAGTGTATTTTATAGATTTCGCACTAGTTAGAAGAACTGGCACATAATCTATCTATCTTATTTTTGGACAACCTGAACGAAACCTTAAGAATTTTACTAGTTCTTGCAATATTTCCCTATTATTTATGGGTAATCTCAACGAGACTTTAATAAAAATATTAATAATTGTAGCTTATACCTTATTTTAAACGATTTCAAATCGATTTTTAGATTTTCACTTGGTCTTATCAATTTCAAGTAAATATTTTTGCACAAAATGTGCTCGGGGGTTTTCCAACTTATTAATTATTTTAGTTTTAAAAACGTATACTTTATTTTGCTTATCATTGGCGGACTGAATTCTTTTCAATTTGAATCCCAGAAAATGCTACGCTTCGTGTCGATTCATGATCATATCACACACACTCATCACACACACACTCATCACACACACATAACACACACATACAGTTGTAGAGTCACTTGCAGTGAAGAGTATTTTTCCTGGCTGAATCTTGGCGTGGGGTGGCCTGGCCTGGCATGATTTGTTCAGAGCGCGATATTAAGGCAATAGGTCAATTATTATAAATTGACATCAATGTAAAAAAGTTTTTCAGTGGCCAAGCGGCAGCACGCTTTTTGCCAGAGCTCGGCAATCGAATCGAACCGAATCGGCGTTGCATACACATATGGTATGTATATATATATATATACATTTATTTATATATACATATATAGCACTGATTCGATTAACTTTTAGTAATTAAATCATTTTCAATTTTACATACAAATTGCACTGATGGATGACGTTTGACAAATGATTCTTTCCAGAGTCAGCGAATTGTATAACCGGCCACAATGAAACTTGCAGTTAATCAATTGTCTAATTGTAAAATATATATATACACACACACACATACGTATGCAACATAAATGAGGCATGTTGCAGATGCGGCCAAAATTGTTTTGGCCGCTCACGACAAAAGAAGAAAAAGGACAAATGTCAAATTTCAATGAACCCCACACTTATGAAAATAAACCTGTCAATATTTATTTATATTTGCTATTTTTAATATGCGTTTGCTTGTGTGCGTTCAATATTAATAATTCATTCAGAGAAAACGTGCAGTTCTCTCGCTCCGCTCCCAGTAATAAAACAATAATTGCAATTATCAGTTTTGCATACGCATTAAGTATACGTCGCATAAGTGTGTGGGGGGATTTACTATATACACAATCAACCATCTATGTATGGGTAACTGACAGAGAGAGAGAGAGAGAGAGAGAGAGAGAGAGAGAGAGAGAGAGAGAGATCCACATATTTATATAAATAATTGATAAGAGTCTGCTGTGGCTCAGTGTCTATATTCAATTATCAATAAGACAAAAAAACAAAAAATCGACACCCGAAGCAAATGTTTGTTTGGTTGTTTCAGACGTTGTCATCTAATCTTGAGAACTGCTGCTGGCTTGAATACTTTAAAGTGTCGCAATGACCGAAACTAGCAGCTAGCAGCTAGTAGCTAGTAGCCTGTACTTTGTCTCAATTGCATGTGGAGATCCCCGTCACAGGCGGACATTTCCTAATTGAAAAATTAAATCATTTACTTCAACCCAGGTCATAATTAGAACCCCAGAACCCAGAACAACTCAGGTCTCAATTGAGACCCAATTGAGTCTCAGTTGATAATGAGTGTCGGTTGGCTTTTGTCAAATGTTGTTATTGTATTGTTATTGTTATTGTTATTGTTTTTTTTTTATGTATCCATGCACCACTGGAATTGGTTGTAAACACGTGAAGCATGTTTTTCTCCATCCATTTCACAGTACATTGTACTCGTATTTTGTAAATATTTTGCTATTTTTCCATCGGGTTTAAGGAACCTAAATTGATACGTCAATTCTGTGGTGGGCTACAGATATGAAAAAAAAAGGTCCGGCCTTGAAAACAATCACACAGATTGATATAGGAATTGTAGGAAGAGAATGTGAACCAACCTTAGATTGTTCCATTGCATGCGTAGTTTGTACAGATTAAAGTTCATATCCCGAAATGATCTCATCTCCAGATCGTCAAGGTGAGAGTGCGTTATTTTCAAATCGATTTTCATGTCCGGATTGAGCTTATTGGCCAAACTGTCGACGACCGCATTGAAGGATTCAAGTTTTTCGCAGGCGAGCTCCACGTGATTGAACGCCTTACCCGTTTCGCACGTGCACGGCGAAATCTCCGGACGGACAGCGCATTGCAGTGTTGCAATGTGAAACACCGCATACATCAGCGAAGTCATATTGTATTATTATTAAATACCAATTGACTGTATTAATTATTTGTGTATATATCTTGAACAATCAATCTTTTGAGCACACGTCACACAATTTTGTTGCTGTTGTTGTTGCTGTTGTTGTTGTTGTCAATTTTCGTTGTCTTCACACAGGACTATTTTTACCAGCCAAATGTTTCGTTAGCGAGGGAAAACTCTCTCTGCAACGCGTTTTTCTACTCGTATTCGAACATATGTGCGGGAGTTTCCATACTTAGATGTGTGTGTGTGTGTGTTTTTTTGTGTGTGTGGGTGTCGGTGTGTGTGTGTGAGTGTGTGTCAGTGTGTGTGTGCGTGTGTCACTGTGTGTGTGTTTGTTTTATTTTCCTTTCTTTCGTTTCGTGTGCTGTGTTGTCGGAATTCTTTTGAAATTTTAATCACTTTTCAAACTGTAGGCGGCATCAAATTTCAATCAAAACACGCTTAAATCCCAAACACACACACACACAAACATGCACACATATACATAAGTATACCGTTAAGATTATACAGATGTGAGTTGGGTGTTGTACATAAGATGTACATATGTATTTATATTTACTAGCTGCACTCTCGCCTCTCGCTCGCTCAATCGTTTGGGTGACCTCTTGACACGCACATCTATGTATATTGGCTTGTTGTATATATATATATATATATATTTATATAAATATATATATATATTTATTAATCTTCTAAGAACAATACCAACAACAACAAGAAACGAAGGAAAATAATAAAATAACACACAAATACACACACCGTATTATTGTTGTTGTTCTTGCTGTTGATTTGTTATTTATTTAATTATATTTTTTTTGTTTTTTTTTGTGTTTTATTTTTTTGTATATTATTTTTCGAAAAAAAAAACCGCGAGTATTGAGCGAGAAGATTGTGAGTGTGGAGTGTGAGTTGATTTTGTATATATATATATATATATATATACATATATATATATATATGTTTGATATTATTATTGTTGCTGTTGTTGTTGTTGTTGTTGTGGTATATATATATGTATATGGTATATAGCGCTAGCACGATTTCTAGACCCGATGTTCACGTCTTTAGTCCAACACGGTTCGTTTGCGACTGGGAAAAATAATGAAAACGCTGAGGATCCGTATGCTGGCTGCGTCGCCGGCAGCGTCGTCGGCGCCATCTGCTGCTGCTGCTGCTGCTGTGGCTTGTTGTTGCTTGCTGGCTGTTGCTGTTGCTGCTGCTGCTGCTGCTGCTGCTGCTGCTACAACTGATGTTGACGACAACTTCTCGGCTGCTGCTGCTGTTCTTGTAGAACTTTGAGCGCCTTTTTGAATGCAAAAGTTGTTGTTGCTGCTGCTGCTGCTATTGACGTCGTTTGCTACTGCTGCTGCTGCTGCTGCTGCCGTTGGTGCTACTATTACCTATGTAATTGTCCAGTGGCAACACTCAATTACATGTGTTCCTTCTGTGTGCGGCGCCAGGCGTCAATCTCAATCTCAAAACACAAGCCCAGCAATCTGGCAGCAAGTCGGCGCCGGCGCCGTTTTCTCTTTTGTGCGTGTTTTAGATGCCCCCTTTGAGCTGTTGCTGCCACTGCTGCCACTGTTGCTGATGGGTGTTGCAGCCACATGTGCATGCTGTTGTGTTGAGTTGTGTTTCTTAGGAACCTAGCCACAAGCATGCCATGGCATGCCATGCAGTGGCACATACATACATACACACATACATACTTATATCTATACCTATCTATGTATGGGGCATTATTATCATCATCATGTGTTTACATCTTGTTCTCTGCTTGTGTTTGTCTTTGGCTTCCACTCTTACGCACTGTTGATAAATTATCCTTAACACACACACACGCACACACACACGCACACACACGCACATGGAAGCGCCTGCCACATGCGTTTTAAAAATGAGTAAGTACACATGTAGCATGTTTATGTGTACATACATATATTCATATCTACATACATACATACACATACACATACATATGTGTACCTTTATCTTGGCATCTTTGAGTAATGCTTTCAATTATGACGTTCCCAACTGTGCACAGAAACCATCTTGCAATGCTTGGAGCACATTAACTGAATGAGCCGGGTTGTTATGATTTGCTCTTGTTGTTCATCTCGATAATAATCTTGCGCGTTGAGTTGCTTTACATTTGACAGACTGTCCAACCACCCTATATTATGTATAATAGAACTAGAAGGCATTTCTTGTTTTTAGAAATAATATCAATAAAATCAACCAAATTTCTAAAAAATACAAGGTATTTTTTCTATTTTTCAGAAATATATTTCTTACTAATAGAAAATATTTCTAATAAGTTGAAATGCAAAATCTGATTCTTAATAAAAATACTTTAGAGCTCTGAATTTGAGAAAAATGTACCCTCCAATCAAGAGAAAAAAACCCTACTTTTTAAATTTTCTAAAATTCAGGACGATTGTTTTTGAGTGTATAGATACGAAAATTCTTAAATAATACATAAAAAAAAACATAAAGTTAAATCCGACCAAATGGTTTATTTTTTATCTTTACTAAATATTTTAACAAAGTGGTAAGTTAATAAATTTGTCCTTAAACCATATTTAACGAGCTCAGCAAAGTGCTTTCCTACCAACTCACAACAGGGTATCTGAAGAGCAGTCATCTTTATTTTCTATCGCTAAACGCATGCAAATGTTGCCATTAACGGTGAATAATTTGTCATTTGAACTAGATATCAACTTAGTATTGTTTTTAGTATTTAATTGCCATTGCAATGCCAGCCAAATATGTTGCACAGTAATTACAAAAAAAAACAACTTGCGACTGTGGCGCCACCTCATAGCAGCTTGCTGTTCGTCACATTAAATCGTGAGGCGCCAGGAGAGGCAGCAGCAGCAGCAACAGCCGCATGCAGCATTCACCATGCATCAAAGTCCGCAGCCTTAATTTATTTTGAAGTTCTGGCCGTTGGTTGGCATTGCTGGGCACAGCGCATGCATAATTAACCAAAGCCCCCTTAAAAATGCCGTCGTCTGTCGCCGCGAATTCCTCACAAATTCTGGCTGCAATGCGCGTGCCATCGCAGCCAGCCACCCCTTGCACTCCCCACTCCTGCACTCCACATCTTGCCACTCTTCTCCCTCTACTGCTGCTGCTGCTGCTGCTGCTACTGCTGCTGTTGCAATTAATCATTGGCTGCCGGCAAGTGGCAATTTTCTTATGGCTTGTGGTAGCAAGTTGTGTTCCACTCGGACTCGGACTGGAGCTCGGCTCGATGACACACACACAGACACACACACAGACAGACACACACATAGATACTCGGAAACATACGTCAGAGAAGATGGACAAGCGTTGCACGGTTATTTTTAGTGTGACCGTTACACGCCCCCCTTGTGACAAATGCTAGATTAATCGTATATTAAAAATATACAACGATTGCGTAGATGGGCTAATTTTAAAGTCCAATCATTTCACCTAAAGAGCAAAAAAACAAAAACAAAATCAGCAACGACAGCAAATATATTAATTATTATTTATTCCGAATTTCGGTGTCCGAGTGCCACATAAATTATTTCGCAAATTTTATGTGACAAATTTTATATGTTTATTTTTTTATAATACTGTTGGACCGATTTGGCCCGTTGCCGAAGCATTATCATGTCATGTGAAACACATTTTCCATCGAAAAATATGCCTTCGATAGATGAGATTGTTGTTGGTCGCATTCCTCGCTTAGCCACTCGAGATGGTTAACTGCAAATTCCAGAGAAATCATCATATGCCAATCTTTCACGTCAATGGCCAAAAATATTCAGCTGGAATTTGGCTGTCGTCACGGCTGTTGTCTGTTGGCCACTGCGTCATCCGACTGGGGGACGCCATCGATCAATTTGAGCCACTTGCAAAAGGATTAGGCGTACTAATTTAAATATTTATTATTATTTTCTTTTTTTTTTTGGTGATGTACTTTTTATTTAGCTTTCTTTTATGCAGTTGTCCTAAAGTGTTTGACCTTTAATTTTGTGTAGTTTTGCAATTATTTTTTATATGTTTGTATATATATATATATACATATATATATATCAGCGGTATTTCATATAATGTGGTTGTGTGTGTGTGTTGCAATGAAGCAGCCACCTGCATGCACTCCTTGTGGACCGTGGACCGCTTCCGCTTCAGGCTGCCGACTGCAGACTTTAAACAGAACTTATCCATTAACTAAGTTAAATACAATATTTTTTCGTTAAAGTAAAATTTACAACAAGCACTAAGCACTAAGAGTCCTAACCGCCCAACCTGCCCGGACCAGGATCAGGGCCAGGACCCTTCCCGGCCCGCCTACTTCTGCTCAGTGAACTTGGTGATCTGCGGATATTTGCCAGACTTGTAATCAATGTCATGCTTAATGCGATCGCGTACATTCGTACGGACTGCGTCCGTATACGATGCCTGGACGACAGCATCATGGGCAATGGCATTGATTATTACATCCGGATTGATAGCTGGATTGGTAGCATTACCGCCGCCGCTGCTGTTGCTTAGCCCAGTTCTATGAATAGCTCGCTGTACACCGCTCGCAATCAGACACTCCACATTTGTGGGCGGCTTCTCCGTCTGGATGATCTTGCGACGCTTGGCGGACATCCCAGATATGTATGCATCCGAGTACGGTGGCTGTGCTTGGTTTTGCTGCACATTATAAAAGAGTAGAGAATCATTAGCTGGTTGATTTATAAATATATAAGCACAATTAGAATCTACCTCCGTTTGGGTTTGCAGATCTCGTGTTATCACAGGCAGCCAGTCGTTGGGGAAGCTGTTGTGCCACGGCTCGGAGCCTGGCGTAACTGCGGGTAATGGTGGCTCCATTTCGGTGGCACTATTGCTGCTGCTGGCCACCTCGGCCATTTCGATATCATTATCGAGTGACTGCTGCTCCGGTGCCGCCTGCTGCTGCTGCTGTTGGTGCTCCTGTTGTTGCTGTTGTTCCAGCTGCTGTGGATTAAAGGCAAGCGGCGGTGGCGCAACAAAAGGTTGCTATTAGTTGCGCTTTATTGAAGCTCTCCATTTGTACACGCCCTTGACTTACATCGTCGTCTGTGGGCAGCGTTGACTGCGCCGCATTGCGCAGCACCAGGAACTGTTCAGCATCGGCGGTGTCTGTTTGCGCCGGTATTCTCGGATCAATGTAGATGCACAAGAACTGCAGGGCCTCATTGCGAAAGTCTGCAAAATGCGTATAACGATTAATAGAAATAGTAATAGTAATAGTAATGTAATTAATGAGCTGCTGTTTGGTTTTTTTCTACTCACTTGAGCGGAGTGGCACGCCCAGGACTTGCATCAGTTGGCGCCAGAAGAGCTCTGCATTGTCGCTGCCGAGGCAGAGGAAGAGCACACTGTAGAGACGTGTGCGAAACTGTTCGCAGATCAGTTTGAGCCGATGCTCGAAGCGAATGTGACAGTGAATGGGTTCGACGCACAGCGAGATAACTAGAAGCAGACTGCGGCGCAGCATGTTGCACACGGAGTCGTGTGAATTGTATTCGGGTCGCTCGTATTGCCGCAAAAACAGCAGACAATCGGCGAACCAGTCCAGCGCCCGATCAATGGCCGTGGGTATTGTCTGTTCGTTGATCGGTCCACCCTCGAAGACCGTCTGATGCACAAAACTGCGCACCTGGGCACGCAGATTGCGTGCGGCCTGTGCTCCTGCGCCTGCTCCTCCTCCTGCTGCCGATGAGGTGGTTGCCAAAGATGTGTTGCTGCCGGACACAGATGCTGCAATTGCGCCAGCGCCAGCGCCAGAGCCTGCGGCTGGACCATCGGCAGCGTTTGCTGTGACTGCTGCATTGCTGACGACTCCGATGCCAGGTGGTGCGGTGTTGGTGGTGGTGGTGGTTGTGGTAGCAACGTTGGCCGTGCCAGTGCCAGTGCCAACCAAGCCTGTTTGCGCATGATTTCTCAAAGTAGTTAATAAAAAATCTTCAAACGATGCGGATATAAATCTGGATAGTCTGCGCATGGGCGGCTGTTGAGCAGCACGGCTCACAGCACCACTGCTGCTGCGGCTGCTGTTGCTGCTGCCAGCGGCACCAACGCTCGCCATTCCCATTGGCAAGCCGCCAATTCGATTCTCACGGCGAGCCGACATTGGACGCGACAGATTCGCATAGCTGTGGCTACGCGGCAAGCGACTTGCGATGACTACGATGACACAGGACACATATGGAATGCAAATTAGATGTCAGAGATGCAAACCGGCGCGAGACCATCTAACATAAATATACCCAATATACCCTATATCTGTCCTGTGTATGTCTGTGTGTGTGTATTGTGTATCAGTTATCAAATTGTCCTCATAATTAAGATTCCATTCGATATGAAATTTAAAGAATACCTTTTCACAAATTTCATTTGCAATTCGAATCGAGGATGTGATTAAAAAGTTATTTGAATCTAGGTTTCAGTTAAAGTTATTTGAGTCAAGAATTCGATTGAAAGCTTATTTGAATCGAGGATTCATTTGAAATCTAGATTGCATCGAGCAATCGATTGAAAAGTTATTTAAATCGAGCAATCGATTGACAAACGATTCGAATTCTAATAAAAAGTTCATCTTTGCTTGGGTTTCCTTCTGGTTGTTGATCTGAAAACAACGCGGTTTGCATCTCTGGTGAATGTTGAGTGGACGATGAGGATGATAAAAAGCATACAACGTGGCGAACCGGAGACGGGGACGGAGTCGAAGCCGGAGCCGTGCAGCTGCCGAGACATATTGGGATGATGTCTACTTAAAGTAGCGGACACTAGTGGACAATTGGCATTTGTAAAACTATGCTAAGAAAACTTACCGTTTGTTGCACGACTGCTGGCTGCATTGTTGTAGGCGCCACGGCGAATGCTGTTGCCACTGCCAGTGCCAATGCCGATGCTGCTGATGTTGTTGTTGTTGTTGGTCTGCTGGATAAGCGGCTCCTGTTCGCGTATGTGATGACTGTTGCACGGCAAGAAGCGATCGAAGGCGGTGTGCGTCGGCGCAATGCGACCAGCCCAATTGTTGTTGCCACCAATCTGAATTTGTGGCCGCGCCGTGGAACGCGTCTGTGTTGCCGTTGTGGGCAACGTGTTTGCTCGCTGTTCCCCGCTGCGCGTGCCACTCGATGTTGAGGCGGCACCAGAGGCGCCCAAAGTAGTGGCTGCAGTTGCCGCCGTTGCTGTTGCAGCATTTGGTTCGCTAACTGCTGTTGCAGTTGCAGCGGCTGCTGCAGCAGCAGCTGCTACAGCAGCTGCTATTTGCGTTCCCGTTGCAGCGCCCTCGTTGGCCACCACTGGTGCACCTGCTGCTCTCGGATGCAGTGCAGCAGTAATCACATGCACCGGCAAATTGATCACATTGGGCATATTGAACTCAAGCCGCAAATCCGCATCGTTCGTCGCGCTGTTGACCACGGCCTGAATGAGACGAGCCATGCGCATATGCGGATCTGTGAACAGAACAGGCAACAAAAATGAATCATTAGCTACAAATATCTATTATGGCAATAAGATCGTCGACATGTTTACACTTTGTGCAACAAAGTTAACGGCGAAGCTGGGAAAACCATTGGTCTGACATGGTTTAAATTATGCTGGGAACTATTCAAATCTGTCTCCCTTAAAAGTGCGTTTGTAAACATTTCAGAAATCGAGGATTCGATTGGAAAATAATTTCAATCAAAGACGCGAATAAAAAGTTATTTGAATCTAGGATTCGATTAAAGAGTTATTTGAATCTAGGATTCGATTGCAAATACAAATGCAAATTGTTACAGCAAGAAACGAACTTGTTTTAAGCCGCAAGCCAGTCAAATTGTTAGCCATCATTGCTAAAACTAAATATATTTATAATATATTATTGAAACAATGCTAAAGTAAGTATTTGATTCAGTTATGGATTGTTAGTCACTGCTGCAAATGAAATGCAATAAACAGGAAACCAAAGCGGAGCCTGGCCAAGATTACTCTTCCGATGTAAAAGGAATTAATAACCAGGCCATCAACAAGTTAAATTTCCAAGCAAGAATATAATATTAACATATTATAATTATTATAATATACAGAATATTATATTATTATATCAAAATATTGCCAGGCACGTTAGCAACTGTTTCGAATGAAGTGCAGCAAAACGCAAACAAAAGCGTAGCATGCCACATTATTTGCTGCTGGCCAAGATTACGCTTCGATTTGATGAAGAAGATTTAATGCCAGGTCATAAAATAGTGCTACATTTTGAAGCGAGCACGTATTCTCTCTTCAGAGACAGGCAAGCGATGCGTAAAATATTTGAACAAACTCGATTCGACTCAACTGTTAAACAATGAATCGGGGGCAAGGAGCAGCGAGCAGCGAGCGAGGAAGAAATTCTTTCACAATTCCAGCCAGAGGCACAAGCGAAGCGAAAAGCTGGAACACCTACTGGGTGGCGGCAGTGGCACTGGCATATAGAGGCGAAACCTGGGCCGTGCTGGTGCCTCATCAGCCGACTCCACTGATTGCTCCACGTGCTCATCTAGAAAATGATCAAACAGGGAATGGGAATTGAAGGTTTACATTTTGTGCAACAAATGCAACGCACACCACACACCACACACACAGACACAAATTGCCATTCGATTGGTACTCACTCATTTCGGGTCGTGGCGTTTGCTGCTGCTGTGGCAGAGTGCCAGCTGCGTTGGCAGGACTTGGTGGCGCCACCATGGGCTCATCGACGGGATCCTCGACGTTATCAGTGCGCTGGCCGAGACCAGCAACGAGTGCAGCTGCCGCATCGGCCAGCAGCAGTTGTCTTTCCTCATCCTCCTCCATTGAGTCAGACGATGACGCTTCTCGACCAGGTCGTGTTCCAACTGGAGCTGGGATTGCACCAGTTGCAGTCGCAGCTGGAACAGCTGTGCCCGGGCCATAGGGTGGTGAAGTAGGCTCAAATGGCGGCTGACCCCGCTGTGCTCCAGCTACAGCTCCTTGGGGGCCATAGGTTGGTGAAGGGAGCTGAAACTGTGGCTGTGCAGTGGCTCCAGCAGCGCCCCTCATCCATCTGTCCGACTCAAAGGATTCGAGCAGCTGATGCAGAGTCAACTGTTCTGGCTGTGCTCCACCTGCAGCAGTTGGAGCTGAAGCGGGAAGAGGGTTGCTGCCTGTGGCTGGTATCGGGGCGGGGGCGTGGCCAGTGGCTGCTGCACTAGCAGCCGCTTCTGTAGTAGGTAAGAGCAGATCGCTAAGCGGCGCCGCAACCAAATTGGGCGTAAATATATTGTTGGAGCGAATGTAGCCGCTCTGCTCGACCAAAATGGGTCGGCAGGTGAGGACGCGTGGACCTGGCTGTGACAGATCCAGCATCAGATCGGAGATTGCGTGCTGGGCATGCGACAAATAATGAAGAGCCTCCGAGACGCGATCAAAGGTGCGCTGAGCATTGTCGCGTTCCACGTTATTCTGCTCACCAAATTCCGGATCCTGCAACAGGATCTCCTGATAGCGATCGACGAATGTGGCGAGACGCGACTCGACGGTGCGATAACGCTGAATGACAGACGCCAGCACCTGGGGTCGTGTGCGGCGACGCGAATCGACGCCAGTCACATTGGCGCCATTGGGATCTTCACCTGCAGCAGCTGCTCCTGCTGCAGCACCTGCTCCAGCTTCAGCTTCAGCTCCAGCTGCAACGCCAGCTGCTGCTGTTGCATCCTCTGTCGATGGTGGCGATGCGGAACGTTCGTCTTCATCGGTCACAATCACATCCTCGATGATGACAGCAGCGGCGGCTGTTGTCTCCTCACTCGACTCACTGTTACCAGCCGAGTCCGAGGCAGAGGCCGCTTCGCCACTGGCTCCCTCCTCATCCCGTGATTGCTGTTGCTGCTGTTGAGACTGCTGCTGTTGGGTGTTCTCGCCACCGCCACCGCCGCCGCCGCTTCCCTCGTTTGTGTAGACCGTGGGCAGCTGGACGACCGTATAGTTGCGACCGGGTGTATTGCGGGAGAGCGCAGCGGTGACTGCATCCTGAACCATATCGATGATGTTATTGTTGCGTGGCATATCCGTCGAGGAGACACCCACCTCGACCACCGTTGATTCCATGGTCCAGTGACCTCGCTGCAATATATCCAACGGTTGATTGTTCAAACCAATCTCCGGATTCTCCAGATAGGCGGCAATATTGTTGGCACAGTCGATCATGTGCTGGGCAACGGTTATCCGATTGATGCAAAAGGACGACGAGTTCGGAAACCGATTGGGCGGCGTGCGGGTCTGCAAATAGGATAAGCAAATCTATTAGAACTCCCATCGATTTGGTGTGTAGAGCAGTGAGCAGAGTTTAAAGATATATTGTATATTTATATACAAATACGAAAATGTTGATTTTTCATATATATTTTTGCATTCTTGCATTCTTCTCATAAGTTCCTTAAATGTGCAAATATAAAAAGATAACACCTTTGAAAATAGTTCTTGTGATTTTTTGTACCAAGCTTGACCTAAGCTGATATTGTTAAGCAATATATACATATAGCTTTAGCTGATCTTCCTGTGTGTGGGTTCCAAATTATCTTTTTTTTTAACATTTATTGTAAGAACGGTGCTCTTATATGTAACTACATATATCCAAGCTTGACTTGAAAATAGACTGATAAATTCCTGGTTTAACACTTTGTTAGTTACTTAAACTTACAAGTTTAAAAAGGACACCTTTGAAAACATTTCTTATTTTTGGTGCAACTGTATATACGCATATAGTTTAAGTCGATCTTGCTGTATGTATGTTGAGGACTCACCCCGGCGGCAGTTAGGTTGCCATTATTCACTGGTATGGCCATGGTGCCCACGAGCATGCCATCGAGTGCCCGGAAGTAGGGTGAGTTGCGCATATTGCGGGGCGTTGGGCGACCGGCCATGCTGCGAAATCCTCGCATCGGTTCATCGTTGTTTGTTGCGTTGGCGCCGCGTTGCGAGAACGGCGGACGCTCGGCGACATGCAGCACTTTGCCATCGACATCTGTGGAAATATATACATATATATATATCTATGTGTATGTGTATTTGTATGTGTGTGTGTTTGTGTGTGACTCACCGTATTCCTTTACTTGCTTATCATCGGCCAAGACACGTCCCTGATAAATAATGCGCTGATTTTCGGCGGCAATATTCGTTTTGACGGCAATCTGGTCCTTGAACTGACGAATGGTTAGCTGCAAAAAAGGTTAAACAAGAAAAAAGAAAAGAAAAGCGCTTTTAGAAGCTTCTCGTCGCACAACACAACCTCAAAAAAAAAAAACAATAATAAAAGACAACAAGTGAGAGCGCTCGACTAGCAGATACCCTCTGAGTTATAGCATTAGGCTTGGATATGAAAATTTTATCTTATTAAAAAGCTCTTTTACGATGTGTATATATATATGTATTTATATATATATATGTATATAAATACAGAGTACAGAAAATGCTCACTGCTTAGCAAAATTGAATGCATTTTTAACAGCTGATCAGTGTTATCGATAATTTTCAATTAATCAACGCAAACTGTTAACATGATATTAAATTCATAATAAATTTAAATAGAGACAGACATGGCTATATCTGCTAGTCTATTGATGCAGATCAAGAATGTATATATGGTTACATACTTTTGCATCCTTCAATATACCCTTTTTCATCGTTTTTCAGGGTATATAAAAGTACATATCTCACATATATATATATATGCAGTCACACACACACACACACATATGCACTTACCTCATTGTCGATGCTAAAATCGTGTGTGCGCGCATCTAAAGTTTTCACCTTTAGATTTATTAACATTTTGTAGGCCGTCTGTATCGGTTTTCAGCCGTCTTTGGTCAATTTGCGACGCGAATCTGTGAAATTAGTTTCTCTCTCCGCAATTCAAGAAAAAATCCAAAGAAAAATAAAAGAAGAATCTAAACAGACGGCAACTGTCGCTTGTTCGGGAGAGGGGATGAGAATCGGTGTCGGTGTCGATGTCGTCGGTCTATCGTTGAGTCGCTTTTTTTTTGCCAATCGAATTGCATTCGCCCTTCTTCTTGCTTCTCCCGTACGCACACACGCTCGCTCGCTCTCTCTCTCTCTCTCTTTCTCTACGCCGTCTGTGTGGTTTTTCTTTTCCGATGAAGAGTTTTCTTTTTTTCGTTTTGATTTGTCGAATCGCTAAACCACTTCGCTAACTCAACACCGAATACCAGTGATTTGCCAGCAATCAGATTGTTATTTCGTTCCGGGTTGATTTTGACACACAATTTCACAATAGCTGTTGGCTGTGACAGAGAATACCTGACTTTTGCTTGAGTTTTACACAAAAAAAAAATACTGTCCGCAATTTTGTGTTGAATTGGTTGTTTGGTTAAAAATATGGTCACATTGTGCGAATATGCTTGCTCCACAAGCAACATATCGATAGGTGGCCGACTCACAATTGTAGCTGTTTGGCAAGGCTCTATCTGTTCTGCAGCCCTGGCACAGCACACTTTGGCGGCAAGCTTAAATTGTGAAGTAGCTCCTTTTTTTGCACAATTTATTATTGCATACAAAAACATGAAGCAATTGAGGCACACGCCACGACGTACATTAACCCCAACCTTTGAGCCTGCATCCTGTGGGAATTTTCGGGCGCTGCACGCAGAAAAAAATAATAAGAAATAAAGCAGGAAAAGCCGCCAAAGCCGCAGCAAAGGTGTAGAGTAACTTTACGCTTTGAATATTTAAGTGGCAACAGGCAGCAGTAGGTAGGTAGGAGAAGGGGTTGCATGTGACTGGAGAGAAAAGAGCAAAGGGAAGCGCAGCTAACACAATTTTCTTATACCCCAAAAAAATGTGCGGAAATGTGATTTAATGCCGGCGATTGAGAGTCCTTCGGGTTTCCCCCAAAATATTTGCCAGCATTTCTCTTTGAAGCTCTGCACAAAAATAGAAAGATGTGCGTATGAAATTAATATACATTTAATCATGTGTGTAGCATATATAAACTTAGAATGCATTTGGTTTCATTTAAATCGAAGCCTTGAAACATAAGATAAACACACATTTTTTTCTTGTCATTCAGGGTTTTTAAGGCAAAAATAGAAGTAAATATTATAACATTTATTTATGCCTATAACTCATCGAAATTAAATTAATATGCATTTGAAAATATGTTTAGCTTATCATTAAGATCTTACATGTTAAACATCACAAAAAAAAAGAATTAAAGACATTTTTTTTGCTCTATATATGAAAATGCGTATTTATTATTATTATTACTAAGCAAAAATATAAATAATAATTATTTCACTTTTCTTGACACGCTTTCCAATGGCCAAGTGTTGGGCTCGCAATTTACAAATTGCTTTTAAATGGGCTGTAAAAAAGTTTTAATGAGTTTTCGACACACTTCACCCAGACCCCTCGCCAACAACAACTGTTTATGCATTTCCATTTTCATTATCTTTTTTTCTCGAATTTGTTATTATGAGTTGTTTATTTTTTGGCTGGCCTTTCCCTAAAAAAACTTTGTCCAGCCCCGTGTTGCAAGTGGCGTCAAAATGGGCGTTAAACCGAGGGCGTGTCGCTTTCGCTGACATTTCAATTGGAAAAGCAACAACAAAAACAACAATAATAATAATTGCTGTCAAGTTGAATTTTGGGGGTTGACTTAATGAAATTATATCAATCGGGCAGCTCTGCAAACCCATCCCCCAAATATTACTATTATTATTATTATTGTGTCGTGCATCTGGCAGCTGGAAAATTACTTTTACTTTTGTTATTGTTACTAATTTCGTTTATGGAAATTTGAATTGAGAAATTTAACTTGTAACCATTTTTTCAGCTTGGCAACTTTTACGTCTCTCTCTCCGTCTCGCTCTCTCTCTACGTTTTTCTCTTTTTTTACGTAGCGGTCAAGAAGAAGTAGTAGAGGAAGAAGAAGCACAAGTGGCTGGAGCCAAAGTCTCACGTCAAATTAAATCAGGCTATAATATAAAGAAAATTGAAGCCAACTCCCTTTTGCACCATAAACCAAGAGCAACACACAGACACACACACACTCACAGAAATACAAAATAGTGGGAGGGGAGGTGTGTGTGTGGGAATAAGACTGACGCTGGGGTTGCTTAAAGGTTAAAGTTGGCAGCTAGCTGATTGGCAATTTAACACCCCGAAACCGCAAGCCATCAAATCTAGCTTTAACCCTTATGCAACAAGCTATATTAATAAATAATATAAATAAATAAATATAAAAAATACGTTTTTTTCAATTTAATTCACTAAAGCACTTATTGCACAAAACAAATTTATTAATCAACAGAATGTGGCTAAAAGTGCACATATAGCTAGCATGAGGGTTAATTTAAAAGCCCGCTTGAGTGTGTTTGTGTATGTGTGGGTGAGTTGGCTACGTAAAGATGTTTAGGTCGTATTTGTAATTGTTGGTAAATAATTTTCACAATGCCGAACAGTCTCATAAACATCGCGAACTTCAACAAGAACTACAAACCAAAACCACAAAAATTTATAGTCAACACTTAATCTAAGCTGTCAATGCGAACGCAACAGCTATAGAAAAATAAAACTGCAACAAAAGCAGGAACTAACGTAATTGGCTGCACACAATACGACAAAACGTAAAATTGCAAAGCGTTACGTGTATTGCTCGTTTTACGTTTGACCAGCACTGACACACACACACACACACACACAGGGAAGTCGTAAAGTTTTAGTTGCATTTAGTCTCAGCAGAATTTCGTCTTCGTCTTCGTCTGCTTTCGACTTTGACTTTTAATTTATGTTTCAATTCCAATTAGCAGACGAGGCGCGTGGAGAGCTTTTATGCGAGTGCCGTTAATTGACTTTCGGCCTGCTGCTGCTGCTGGCGCGTCATTTGTAACTGTATACGACGAGTGTGTGGTAGAGAGCGAGAGAGAGAGAGCGCGACCGAAGATTGAGTGGGGGAGCGAGAGGTTAAGTAAGTGGAACGCTTATTGGCCAGGCGAATGCAGCTAATTGAAGTTCAAATTGTGCTCGGCGTTCGAATAAGGCGCTTAGCAGCAAGAAAGGAAACCGTTGAAATGTAACAACTACTCATGTGTGTGTGTGTGTGGCCAGGCGGAAAAAAAAGAAAGACAAAGTCAAGTTAAAAGCGCAGACGAAGACGAATTCACCGTAAATTCACTTAAGTGACGTAAAGCCAATTTAACAGTCAATACAAAAGGACACACACACACACAGATAAACACCCACACAATCACATGACGATTGTGAGGCAAACGGAAATAAAATCAAGCATAAATGCAATAATACAATTTATGTGCCAAATTTCATAAGAGCCATAATGGACTCACACACACACACACACACACACATCCATATACACACACGACACACTCATACAGGCAAATCAAGCAAAAGTCATCAACAAACAAAGGTGACTTCCACATTGTCGACTCCTTTGCCCGTAGTTGGATCCGTAATCGTAATCACATTTGTGTTGCCGAAATCCTGAATGTTGATGCTATTTATGTGTCATTTTCATTGCGCAAAACTTTCGCAGACCGGTCAACGTGGCAACAATGTGAGACATTCTCTCCCCATTTCTCCCTCCCCCTCCTCCTTCCCTCCTCCTCCACTTGCTTCTATTCAGCTGTGCTGTTCCATTCCTGTTCAGCTCAGCTTGTTGCAAGTTAACAACATTTGCTTTACGTTTGCCAATTGCATTATAACTCAATTGTAGCTGAGCGATTTTTATGGAATGAATAAATCGAAAGGACTCCTTCACACACACAGAACGAGTGCTGGCTGAACTATTGAGCAGGATAACAAGAGCAACATAGCAACTTTACTTCGAGTGTGGCAAGGATTCTCCAAAATACACACACAGATTGCATACCCTGTAAATTGTATTCAAAACTGTCAAAAGTTGTTAAATCAAATAAAGTATTATTTTTTATTGCAAAAACATTCATTTTGTAATTGTTATATTTATTATTTTAATTATTTCCTTGCAGTCAATTTCATTCGAACTAATTAAAAATAATGAATTCATTTTTTAATTATTATAATTTTTATTTGATTTATTTCTTTGCGGTCAACTTTACTCGAAATGAAAGATGAAATTAATAAAATTGAATAAATATTAAATGATATTTGTTTCTTAATGGTAATCCCCAAATATGAGTATTGTAAACAAATTTTGATCGCTTTACAAGTGCTTTAGATGACTCTGCATATTGCTTGTAACTCTTCTTTATTTATTATTATTATTATTATTTTTTGGTGTACTACTTATGAGCATTGTTATCATTGCTGGCCCACATTTCAAAGGCATTTCAAAGCACTCGAACCCGAAGCTGTCGAGATGCATTAACAATTTGCCATCCTTAATGCATCTCCGATGGCCCATAAATTGTGTTGGCCTGGTTATAAGCTGGGCCATAGCCAAAGTTGAAGCTGTAGCTGACTTGAGCGCTTGAGGGCACTTTAGCGGCAAGCATCCAGACGGCGAAATGTGGCATGTAGCAGGTGCGCCCACCTCACAATAATAATCACAATTGTTTTTGGTTATGTAATGGACAAATAGATATACATATATACATATATATCCGTACATGATCACAAAAGTGACACGCCCTCAAATTTGCTGTCACTTTGTGTCTGCCAGCTGTAAATTGATTTGACACGATCTCGAGATAGAAATGGATTAATGAAAGTCACGCAACAGCCGCAACAGCTAAGAAACTGGGCCAACTTGTATGAGTAATTGGCCAGGCAAATGCTTAATGTTTATAAGACCCCAGTGCAGTGGCAAAGAGCAAACAGTTTATCGACTTGCTCCACAGCTACAACATGGCATACACATTCCTAATTATGAGTGCAACACTTTTGCTGTCGCTTCTGGCACCGGCTTGGGCTGGCCTCAGTTACCTGGGCAGTGATGAGCATGCCGTGGCGCATACCCATCAGAATGTGGTCAGGAACTACGATGGCACCGTCTCGCACTATGCGAAATCTGTGTCCACGCCCTACTCCCAGGTCAATAAGCTGGACACACGCATCAGCAACAATGTCTACCAGCCGGCTATTGCCAAGACGGTGTCCTATGCCGCTCCGGCGCCAGTGTCCACTGTCTACACACCACATCAGCAGGTGTATACACCACATCAGCAGGTCTACACACCACACCAGCAGGTCTACACACCCCACCAGCAACACGCACTCTTCACCCAGGCAGCTCCAGTGGCTCAAGTTGCTCCAGTCTATCAGCAGCAGCAGCATCATATTCCAGCTGCCCATGCCACATATGCCAGTCATCAACCCACTGTGGTCCACTATTCGCCTGCGGAGACCGTTTCCCACATGAGTTTCGATGGCTTCGGCACCCACTATGGCTTCTAAGTTAAACATTTTTCAACTTGATCAACTATTTTTAAGAGTTTTGAAATTAATCAAATCTTCTTCATTAAATGATTTTATTAAACTAAATTGAGGAAAACTGTTAAACAACTTCCCAGTTTGGATAGGGAATCGATTGCCGTTTATAAAAATAATAATATTAAATTATAAATTAACGATTTCTTTATAAACTATGCACAATTAATGAATTTTACATATATTTCAATAAATATTAGCAAAATAAAATACTTATATTATTATCAAATGTTTTATTTAATTTCTGGAATATATTCTTCAAAAAAGCTGGAACTTCACTCAGATTTTGCTCACGTCTTCATGTTGGTGGGTAAACAAATCATAAAAGTCCACACAAAGTGCACTACAAATAGCCTCAAGTAGGACATTAGCTTGTTGTTGTGTTAATGTTTAAGGGGCACTCCCCCATTCCTCCACATCCCCACTTACGCCCTTCCCAGCCCTTCTTACAGCTGGTAGTGGGTTACGTGATTTGTGCAGCACAAACTTAAAAATCGGACATGAAAACTACGTGACTCGCATTGGAAAGTGCCCAAAGGACCTAAGGACCTGAGCGCAGGAGGAGGAAGGACACAGCATCAAGTGAACTAATCGGATTTTTTTTACATTTCTTTTTGCTGCTCAGAGAGAGAGAGAGAGTCGCAGGTCCTCTCGTTATAAATAATGCACGTTGACAATTGCAATTGGAACCTAGGACCTGGCTGGAGGGTCATAATCTATAAATTGAAATCACATTTTTGCTACCTCATTAATTTTCCAAGTAAGCAAAAAAAGAACTTGAACAAAAATTAGAATTGAGTCTAAAGGAAATTTCTGTTCAAGCTCTTAGGTCATCAGTGGCTAGCATAAATGAGAGATGGCTCAATTTAGATGCCAATCAGTTGAATGGTTGCACTTTCAAATTGCCAGCAAAAGGGACTTACAAAAAAAAACTGAAATTTCTGGGGGCCGAATAAATTTTCGTCAAAAAATTTGCGTGGCAAATTGAAAAAGTAGCTTGCAACAATTTGCAGCGAGCGCTATAGAAACAAAATGCGGCCATAAACAGCTCTTAAATGCAGCAGTCAGCTGCTGCTGCTGCTGCTGGGCATGGTCCTTGCTGAGGTCCTGCTGCCGCCACTTGACTGCAAAAAAAAAGGCGCAATGATAAAATATTTGCCTCGCCAAGTAAATTGTTGGCAAAAAAGTTGCCTGGATAAAATGAAGAAAGACCAAAGTGTTGTTGCTGTTGTTGTTGTTGTTATACTTGCTGTTTGCTGCGGCTGTTTTAGCCATGTTGTTTTGCTGTTGCGGCCAAAGTTGAGTGGCAATGGCAACAGCCTCGCACTCGTTCCTAGCCACATGCTCCTGCGGCACCCCTTTCCCCTCGAAGCTAGCTGTTAAAAGGAAGTTGCAAAAATACAAAAAATAAAAATAATGCAAAATGCCCAGTAAGACGTATTTATCAACATAATTACAATTTTTAATGGCTTTTTAAGCCGCAAAATGGCAAAGCTGCAAAATGAGATAAAAGTAGAGCATAAAACTAGAAGATATCCTCGTTTTGTTGTTCTGCTTTATGATACTGTTTCTTTTTTTATTTCTCTTCTCCCTGACCAGCCAGTGAACTGGACCAGTTCAGAGGAACGTTTGAAAATTAGCTAAGCTTAACTCAATTAAACGAATCGGAAAATTGGATGAGAACTTAATGCTATAAAAGGCAAATATAAATATAATATTAAAGGTATTAAAATAGACCAACCAATTATTAATAAATTCTGCATCTTATTTTCAACTAAGTCGATTTTTTTGAATACAATTTGTACTTGTGCAGTCAGCAATGCTGATAATAGAAATAGTTATCTATCTAAATACCCAAAAACCCAACAAAAGAGGGGCTATCTAATGATGTGTCAGCTCCCTAACGGATATCAAAGAGTGAGAGAAAAGAGCAGGAGAGATAAAGAGAGCGAGAGAGAGAGAGAGAGAGAGAGAGAGGGATCCAACAGTTCGATCGTATAGATTGTAAACAGAACACCAAAACAATGCAATTCAGTCGTTGTTTGCCTTTAAGGGAGAACAGTTCAAGTTTTTTGCTTGTAAATTCGCGAAACGAGTTTTTATATATATATATTATAGATATATGTATATATTTATATATATAAATGATTAATCATCTCACACGTGTTCAGTGAGCGTTGCGTGCACAGATGAAAATGAATCACTGGAAAAACGCTGCTGGGCTCCAACTGAAATAGTTGTTTAGAATGCTATTTGGCGATAACACGCTGTGTGCTCTATGCATGCTTATCTTATCGATAACCCACATCGATCTATCGCTCTCCCTTGGCCTGGCGAGAGTTGAGTTGGAACCTAAACTGAACACTGATGTTTACTACAGCTATGACGGCATGTTGGATTACCTGGATCAGTTGGCAAATGATTACAGTCAGCGGGTGGTGTTGCATACCGTGGGCAAAACGTATGAGAATCGCACGCTGAAGACCATCACAATCACGAATGGTGATGGACGCACTGGGAAGCCAGTAATTTTTGTGGTTGCCGGCGCACATGCTCGCGAATGGTTGACGCCAGTTGCTGCCTTATATGCCGTCGAGCAATTGGTTGTTGGGCTGGAGGAGCATAGACATTTGTTAAGAGATTACGATTGGATTGTCATGCCACTGGTTAATCCGGATGGATATACGTACTCCCGCACCGTCGATAAATGGTGGCGCAGCACTCGCTCCCCAAATGGTGGCAACTGCTTTGGCACCAACATCAATCGCAATTATGATATTGGCTGGCGAACAGGCTATGCGGCACAGAGTGATCCCTGTCAGGAGCACTATGCGGGCAGTGAACCCTTCTCGGAGCCCGAGACACGAGCGGTTAGGGATATAATGCAAGAACTGGTTGATACAGGACGTGCACTCATGTACATATCCTTGCACTCCCATCACACAACCGTCTTCTATCCCTGGACTTATAAGAGGTAGCTAAAGCAATAATTCCAACTGATTAGCAAATCGTTAACTATCTTTTATCGCTTAGTGTGCCCACTGATAATGCCATTAAACTGCGTGAGGTGGCCAAATCGGGAGCGGAGGCTATGCACAAGGCGACTGGCACAATGTTCAGCTATGAGCAGGCTAGCCTAAATGATCCTTTTGGTGGCACCAGCCTGGACTACGCCTATTCCATTGGCTTTCCGCTCTCCTATGCGTTGGAACTGTCCGGACAGCGAAATGGCAACACCTTCGATTTCTGGCCACCAACTACGCTGCTCAAGGAGCTGGCCCACGAATCGTGGGTGGGCATTAGTGCCATGGCGGAAAAGGCCATTGAATACTATCCGACGCTAAGTGCAGAAACAGAATCTGCTACTAGTCAAACTAGATCATCATCAACGTATAGTCTAACAAATATTTTTAAAATTCTACTACTTCTGACGGCTATAACAATATTGTCCCAATAGCTAACCCGACTAGAGACAGTATTGACTTAAATTAAGTCTGTCTGTATTTGACCAAACAAATTCCAAATGGCTGTCTTATTTTTTTAGTTGATTAAGTTTTAATATTCAATCACAAATTTGAATCTTAGGATTTTGTAGAACATAGAAAATAAAATGTATTTTTATATTAGCTTGTAAAGTATTTAAAAAAAAAGAATATTTAGAGTCAATTATAAATTTAGCAAATTTCTTTTAGACAACATAAAACATATTATGAGCTGTGTGCGCATTTTAATTAAAACTCTTATGTTGAAACTGTTACCCCGCACTTAAAGTGCGAATCGACTTTAATTGCTGATAAATTGCATTCGCTGCATGCGAATCCTTTCATTTATATCAATTTCTGACAGTTGGGCGCCTTAACCGAAATATCAGCTGTCTCCCATTTAAAAATATATGTATATTTAAATCCATGCCACACGCACTCAATGCGAAAAGGGGCAGAGTGCAGTTGAATCAGATAAAGAGTGGACCATTTGGTTGCACTGCGACTGGAGTCACGTGGCTGGGGAAACACCCACAATGCGACGCACTGGCTGCCTCTGTGGCTGGCTGGCGGGTTGGTTGGTTGGATGGCTTGTTTGCCATGGCTATCAACGGCGGCATCTTCTCACTCCATATGGAGAACCCTGGGCGGTCTGGGATCTGTCTGTGCTATCTCGTTGCGATTGTCTGATCCATTTCGCATGCTGCAATTAACGCAACAAATTGCATTTTTAATATGCAGAAATTAATGTGGAAAATCTTTTTTCAACGCAACCAGACAAAAGCAAGAACAATAAAAAGCAAAGAAAACGATTATATCTAAGGCACACCGAAGATTTCATACGCTTCTAGTCTGGATTCACTTCGCCATCATCTAAATTTTACTCGATTTAAAAATTGCGACCGATTGTTCCTATGAAAGCCACATGATATAGTAACCAAATGTTGGGGCATAATAGCACGCATAACAAAAAGATCCTTTGGGAGCTATAGAACATAGAATATAATAGTTCGATCTGAATGCTTTTTGATCCAATTAAGTGGATTATACTAATGCTAATCAAGAATACACTGTTTCTTCGCTTCTTTCAATGCGTTACACACTTCACGGAACTATTTCAATACCCTCTTCAAGGGTATACACATAAAAAAAAAGTTCTACAGTATTTTATTTATAACAGTCATTGTGCAAATTGAAAATGCACATTTGCGTGGCACAATTAAAAACAGGTTTACGCTAGATACAAACATGTATATAAAAAATACACTACATTTATTTATACGCATTTAACTGAAGTTGTTATTTTTCTAGGGCCTGACCCTTTTGGCATTTAAAATAATATCAGAAAATGTCATTACAAAGTCAAAGTTGCTTCGACCCCCGTTCAGGAAGCAACTGTTAATTAGTTTTTTTTCTTTCGTTTTTTTTTGCGAGGGCAGCCCGCGAAGTTGGCCTGCCTTGGCAGCTATCCATCCAGGCCCAGAACTTGGTTATCTGACGAGCACTGCAAATGTTTTAATTTCCGCCAGAGCGTCTCTAACGGAAATTACTTAAAAAACAAAAAAACGAAACAAGTTCAGCCAAATGACTCAATTCTGGTCATTCCCATCAACGTAACGGGATTTTAAAACAATTAGCATACTCAATATAATTCATTCAGTACACTTATACTACAAAATGTGCTCAACTCGTGCAAATCGCTGATTTAACTCACAAGTGTTCGCCGCGTTCCCTCGTAGAGAGCAGCTGCACTTCGGATATAAGATTATTGGAAAACATTGGATTTAGCTTTACCGATTTAGCTGGAATCGATTCATAGTGCAAAATGCTCTTGATCGCAGCAGTCGTGATTCTTCTGACTTGCTCGCGCCTTGCAGGTTTCTTTTCAGAGGCCAAAAGGAATCTTGATAAATTGGCCAATACAGTTCCGGGGTCCGGCAATAAAAGGCACATAGGCAAAGTTTGAGGAACGTTCGCCATTCGCGTGCCGCTCGGGCTTGAACGGTTCTGGCTCTGGGAAGTACATGGCATCATTCTGCATGCCAATGATAGCGACAAGGATCTCTGCGCCGGCGGGAATGATACCATCACCCACCTTGGAGTGGGCTGTTGAGAGAGAGAGTTGTTCGAATGAAAGTAGAAAGTAAAGTTGTCTTCTCGCTTACTGTACTTAAAGTCCGAATGCAATTTGCGTCCCAGCAGGGGCACTGGCGGAAACTGACGCAGTGACTCCTTCATGACACACTCCGTATACTTCAGTTCGCTGAGATCGCGTGTGGTGATTGTTCGGCTGCGATCGGTGCCAAGCACCTGTAAAATCTCTGCCTGCATTTTATCCTGGACATCTGGATGCCTCGAGATACACCACAGGCAGAACGAAATCGCACTGGTTGTCGTATCATGACCCTCGAACATGAACGTGTCCACCTCCTCGCGGATCTCGTCGTTGCTCAACGGTCGCCCATCCACCTTCGCCTGCAGCAGCACATCCAGCAGAGCCATGCGACGCTTGCTGCCCACTTCATTGTCCACCTGGTCCTGGTCCTCGTCCTTGTCCAGCTCCTCCTGCAGGGCTTGACGACGCTGCTCGATTACCTGGATGATACATTTCAACGTAACGGGATTTTAAAACAATTAGCATACTCAATATAATTCATTCAGTACACTTATACTACAAAATGTGCTCAACTCGTGCAAATCGCTGATTTAACTCACAAGTGTTCGCCGCGTTCCCTCGTAGAGAGCAGCTGCACTGCGGAGATAAGATTATTGGAAAACATTGGATTTAGCTTTACCGATTTAGCTGGAATCGATTCATAGTGCAAAATGCTCTTGATCGCAGTAGTCGTGTTTCTTCTGACGGCAGCTATTCTCATCCATCGCGGCCAGCGAAGGAGTCGGGAGGCGGTCGCCAATCTGCCCGGTCCCCTCTGTCCGCCCTTAGTTGGTGCCCTGCATCGGGTGTTCAAACTGAATCCAAAGAGTACGTATTATGCATAATCACCTCTCGAAAATGATAACTAATCAACCCTTGTAGGGCAACGTGCTAAACGTGCCATATAAAAAATGTTTCAAGTGTACTTGTGTTGAATTGCGCTAATGCAGTGGCAAATTGCAATAATTATATAATATAATTGCCGTACTAAAAGTGTAAAACAAAATTGTTATTATTAAATTTATAATAACTGCAATAATCTTAGCTGATTGATTAAATTCGCAATATCATTCCAACTCAACAAATTCATACTTATATTCTTTAATAAATTGCGTTAGTGGTAAAGTCTCGATAATGATGCAAATGCAGCTGATTTAATCAAAAATTAATGTTTTATTAATTGAGTATTTAAGTTCGGCTATGCACGTTATTCGGTCAGAAAGAATGCAAACAATCTGCAATTTGATAAGTTGATGGGTTTAAAGAACCCTAATCGAAATGTTATTGATTGTGAGTGCTATAATTAAATGTTATCTGTTTCCTACTTTTTACTTTTTGCATTCCGACAAAGACCTGTTTGTAAACAATTTAAGCACTCACTCATTGATCTTTGGATTATACTGCCAATAAATAAAAATTAACAAGCTACAGTAATCCGATAATCTTCCTCGCGCCTTGCAGGTTTCTTATCAGAGGCCAAAAAGAATCTTGAAAAATTGGGACGCTTGCAGCGAATCTGGATCTTTAATCGCCTGCAAATTGTAAGTAGCGATGTGGAGTTCAGCGAGCAGGTACTTGCCAACCAGGAGCACCTGGTAAAGCATACGGTATACAAGCTCCTTGGCCAGTGGCTGGGCAATGGCCTTCTCCTCAGCGATGGCAAAGTGTGGCATCAGCGTCGCAAGATCATCACTCCAGCGTTTCACTTCTCGATACTCGATCAGTTTGTGGAGGTCTTCGATCAGCAGTCGACTATCTGCATTAAGCGTTTAGAGCAAAAGGCCGATGGCAAAACTATCTTCGATGTGTATCCCTTTATCTGCATGGCAGCGCTGGACATCATTGCGGAAACGGCAATGGGCACCAAGGTGAATGCCCAATTGGCGGAGAGTACGCCCTATGCAAATGCCGTTAATGAGTAAGTGTGTACCCTTAGTGGCAACTGAATTAGCTTCAGTGATCAGAAATTAATTGCATTATTATTTGCATATTTTGCATTTGCATAGTCGACATATAATCATAATTCACTTTTCAATCACTGTTCAAAGACTGAATATACATTTTTATGGTGTAAATTGAACTTTGGTTTATCACTGGCTATGATAGTTTATTTACACAACAACCAGCTGTATAATTTATAATGTATAATTTTATCTCCGTGTCAGATGTACTGCGCTGATGGCCTGGCGCTTTATGTCCGCTTATCTGCAGTTCGAGTTGCTCTTCACGCTGACGCATCCGCATCTCAAATGGCGTCAAATTAAGCTCATTCGAACCATGCACGAGTTCACCATCAAGGTAATCGAGCAGCGTCGCCAAGCCCTGCAGGAGGAGCTGGAGCAGAAGCAGCAGCTGGACAAGGACCAGGACCAGGACCAGGTGGACAATGAAGTGGGCAGCAAGCGTCGCATGGCTCTGCTGGATGTGCTGCTGCAGGCGAAGGTGGATGGACGACCGTTGAGCAACGACGAGATCCGCGAGGAGGTGGACACGTTCATGTTCGAGGGTCATGATACGACAACCAGTGCGATTTCGTTCTGCCTGTGGTGTATCTCGAGGCATCCAGATGTCCAGGATAAAATGCAGGCAGAGATTTTACATGTGCTTGGCACCGATCGCAGCCGAACGATCACCACACGCGATCTCAGCGAACTGAAGTATACGGAGTGTGTCATGAAGGAGTCACTGCGTCAGTTTCCGCCAGTGCCCCTGCTGGGACGCAAATTGCATTCGGACTTTAAGTACAGTAAGTGAGAAGACAACTTTACTTTCTACTTTCATTCGAACAACTCTCTCTCTCAACAGCCCACTCCAAGGTGGGTGATGGTATCATTCCCGCCGGCGCAGAGATCCTAGTCGCTATCATTGGCATGCAGAATGATGCCCTGTACTTCCCAGAGCCAGAACTGTTCAAGCCCGAGCGGCACGAGAATGGCGAACGTTCCTCAAACTTTGCCTATGTGCCTTTTAGTGCCGGACCCCGGAACTGTATTGGCCAGAAGTTTGCCCAATTGGAAATGAAGATGATGCTGGCGAAGATTGTGCGTGAATTCGAACTGCTGCCAATGGGTGACCCAGTTCAGCCTGTGGTCAACATTGTGCTGCGATCGGACAATGGCTTCCAGATGGGCATGCGTAGACGCAATGCCACCGGAGAAACCAAATAAAGTATTTCACGTATATTCACTTCTCGGGTATTTCTTTCTTTTCTTTTCATATCATTATACTTAAAGTGAGACCTGCAACGTTATCAGGTAGTTTCAGCTGGCCACTTTCAATTCAACTGGACTACAAATGTATATTAATCTGATAAATGTATATAAATTTAATATAATTAGAACATTGTTTTACTTCTACGGGTTTAATTTAGTTTAATAATATTAGTTTCGATTTGATTACTTAGCGTTGCCTTAGCGCTAGAAGAAAGCCATTCTGTGAGCCGAGAATTAGTCGCAGATTCGGACGCACTGCATCGCCATGTGGCAGCAACTCGAATTGGAGCAGCAGAGGCGCCAGCAGCGTTTTCAGCAGTGACAGGCTGAACTGCTGGGCAGGACAGCTGCGAGGACCCAGACTAAAGCTGAGCAGCTCTGGTGGATGGTCCATAAAGCGTTCTGGCTGAAAATGTTGGGCATTTTTGCCGTACTGCTGTTCACAGCGTTGCAGCTCGTAGAGATTAATATAAATCTCGGCGCCAGTAGGCAAAATACCATCTCCAACCAAAGAGTGAGCTGGTAACAGATATAAGGGAGATTAAGAGCAATATTCTTTTTCAATTGGCAAGTTAGCATACTGTATGTAAAGTCCTGGCTTAGTTGACGACCCACAATTAACTGTGGCGGATGCAATCGCAAAACCTCCTTGAGAACCGCATCCAGGTAAGGCAGACTTGGAAGATTCCCATCTTCAGCGCTGCGAGATGCACGCAGCTCCTCCAGGCAACGCTGCTGCACAGCCGGATGACGAGCTATGAGGATCAAGGCAAAGCAGAGCGTTGTGCTGCACAACGTATACCCCAAATAGTTGCAGGTATTCAACTCGGAACACAGCTGCTCATCGGTGAGTTTCTCATATTCCAGGAGCACATCCAGCAGCGATTGGTGTTCTCGGCTTGGTGTTGTCGACACAAATTCATCTATTATGAAAACTTCACTCTTCATCGGCATTTTGGTCTGCTGTTGTTGACGACACTGTTCGACGATCTGTTTATTCTCAGCGTTGATCACTTTAATGAGTCGCCTTTGACGACGACGCTTCAGTGGAGATGCCAGCCAGTAAGTAAAGCGATTTGCCGACTTAATGCTCAGAAAACGATTTCTATAAAGCTCAGTAAGTCTGTGAAAATAATAATGAAATACAGAAATACAATTAATATTACTTATTGGAAAGTATTGAAATTGATTGATTAGATACATAAGTGTTTTAAGACAATTTTTCCTGCTTATAGCTTTGAGCATTGTTCTAAATTGTCAGTTATCTAAATCAGTGCAGTTTTCAACTGTGGCTGCTCAGATTCAATACTTGCTCAGTAAATGCCTTTTTATATTCGACACTGGGCTGCACTCCACAAGTGGTTGCTAACATCAAGTCCAGCACATTGCCGGACACTATTTGCCACACATCGAATATCTCGCGTGTCTCTGCTTGCTGCACGAGTTGTGGACAGAGTTGATTGGCCTGTTGCTGGCACAGTTTTGTCAACTGCAACATATTTTCCGGTTTAAAGAGTGCTGCTATTTGCTGGTGACGCTGTGACCAGTGCTCTTGCTGGCACATGAGCACACTGTCACCCAGCCAGTCACTCATCAGTTTCTGTCCCGTTTCCAGATGCGACTCACTGTGCAGCAGCTGTTTTGCCAGTTCCAAGTCAGCGACGGGTATGAAAAGTCGATCAAAGATCCAGCAACGCGTCAGTGCACCATATTTACCAAGATAATCAGCGCTACGCTTGAAAAAATCTATTGAAAAATGAACAACCAATGGATACTACGACTTTACATAGTTGAGAACTTTACATACTTTTCGGTGTGAGTAGGACAATCTTGAGCAAGGCACCCGTCAGGGGAAAGCTGAAGGGTCCCTTGAGATTTGTAATGAATTTACGCTGTCGACGGGTACGAAAATAGTTGACTGCCGATGCCAGACAGAAACACACAAAAATGCTGGGCAAGATCATTTTGTCAACTGTGACAAGCCGAGCTGCTGCAAATCGTATATGCCACCGCAGATTAGAACCAGTTTATTGCTGACCATTGTTTGGCACTGGCAATCTGAAGTGTTTTTGCTTGTATCGCTACCAATAAAATTTTAAATATTTAGGTAGCAGTCTTTTTTTAGAAACCGATCAGAGACCACCAGTTAAGCAAGTATCAACCAATTCAACACAAACATATCATTTATTATAATAATTGAACATTATCTACGATTAATTGAATCTGGTTCTTGTTCTTTCAGATACGTTCCACAAAATGTTGCCAGCAACATCAGCCTAGCAACATTTATAGCTGCTAGCAACATTTAAATTTTAAATGAGCTCAAAGATATATACTGAAGAACTTTGAAAATTAGATATGTTTTGAATTAAAGACACTCATAATTAGAGTAGCAAACATTTTCCTGACTAGTTTTCAATCAATTTTGTTTAATTGATGAGCTTGTTTCCCATTTGTATGCATAAGCAATTAACGTGATTGGCCAAGACGTGCTTCTGATAGCAATGAATACAAATAAATTCACAGATACTGTGTGTAATCTGCTAACAATGTACGCATTGATAAAATATTTAAACACTCCGCAAACATTTATTGCTGCTGCTAGCAAAATCATTTCCAAAACTATTACAAGCAAGCCCAGCAATTTAGGAGCTGTCTCAAAGATTGGGCTGTATGGATTGGGGGGTGGCTTTAGCCTCATCCACAATTTCCCCAGCGGCATTTCCATATGGCAGCTGTTGCCGTTCAGTGCTAGAAAATTTAAATCTTTTGCATTTGCGTAAAGTTTTATGTGTGTGTGTGTGTGTGTGTGTGTGTGTGTGTGTGTGCTGTGTGCTGTGTGTTGTTTGGGCTGTCGGTCAACCCTTTCAAGAGTCCAACTGTCAAAAGTACATTTGCCTCGGTTACGCCACAGAAATATCCTCGAAGCATGTAATGACAATATCAGCAGCAGCGCTACAAAACCCTTCAACTCCTCGGTCCTGCCCGCGAGGGCTTTGGGGATTTGGGAGGTTTGCGGCGCTTAGCTGTTGCTTCTCTCTACACTCATTTTGCCGCACTGATGAAACTTTAATGGCACAAACACGCACTTTAGCCAGTACCCGGCCCAGGGACAGGGCCATGTGTCCAGCAGCATTTTAAGGTAGCTTCTATTGCCCACAGTTCCCTTCTGCACAATTTAATATCGTGTGAAATGTGTAGCACATTTTAAACATTCTTGTGGCTAATGTTGGGCTAATGAAGCCACTTTTATTGTGGCACTCTGGGTTTGTTGAACCCCAGGTTGAACATTTATGTACATACCAACTTGCATACATATGTCCGTGTAAATGTAAATTCATACGTCAATGTCAGGAGCAAACTGAAATGGCGCTGTTGTCCTTACGTCTTCTGAAAGTCGCACGTATGCAAATTACCAAAAAAATGCAACAACGGCGGCGACAATGAAAACTAAGAGAACAACACACAGTCAAAAGTCTGACCATTCTTATTGTGTTCTGCTGTTGTTGTTGTTGCATGCGGCTTTCGAGTGGCAAACGCAAAAAACGCAAATGGCAAACAGAATGCAAATCCCCTTCACCGGCCTGCCGAATATCGCAGGCAATACGTGTGTTTGTTGTCTGGGCAAAAATTAAAAACAAAGACATAAAAACAATACACATTCCCATTGTTTCCCATTGCAAGCGACACATCAGCAAGAACAACAGCAGGCAGTTGTGCTTTACAAAAAGAAGCCAACAGCAACAACCAACAACCAACAACCAACAAACAACAACAGATACAACAGTACTAGTTACCCGTACATACATATACGCTTATAAATTGCAAATGCAGTCGGTCAGCCGGCAAGTTAGAGACAGCAAAAGACACACGACGAGCAGCGACGACATAAAAAAAAGAGTCAAATATATGAGGAGCCTAAAAAAAGGCCATTGCCATTGACAACGAACTCGGCAATACTCTGTTTCTTATTTGAAAAATTTAAATAAAATAATTATGCACATAACAGTTGAGCTAAAGACTCGGAAAGCATATTAAAACTTTAACAATTTATTTTAGAATATTTGATAATATTCTGCTCCTTTTTCAATTAGTTACATTTTTAATTGATTTACATTTCAATACAGTAATTAATAATCAGCCTATTAAAGTTAGACAATACTCTTAAAATGGTTACATAAACTTATAGCAAAGTGTTGAATTGAAATATTATTCAGACTTCTGATGTATTAAAACAACTTTATTAATTATATAATGTATAAAAGTATTCGATAGACTGAAATTATATTCACGTAGGGCATTTGATAGTCGCTGTGGCTGTCTTGGAGCCTACTCGTCATCACTTTCACAGTGACTGTTGTTGTTGCTGGCGTCGTTGGTGACAGGAAGCATTTTGCATGAAATGCCCATAAAAATGATATGCACATCAACACTGTCTGATATCAATGGAGCGATAAGCGCGAGAATTTGCTAACTTCGAGCAAACTGAGCAAAGTGCTTTTGGTTTTGTATTGTTTTTTTTTTTTGGTTTTTGTTAGTGTCAGTTGCCTTGCACTAATTGAGCCAAGTTTAGATTAAGGACACTCTCAGTTTGCTTGCAGTGGCTGTCAGTTAATCAAGACGAACTGTAAGTCGACTCTTGACTCTGTCTGTCGGTTGACTGTCTGCCTATCTGACTGTCTGACTGTCTGTCTCTCTGTCTGTTGCCTAAGTACATTTGGCTAGACATTTAATTTGGTTGTGCAGCTAAAAGGTTGCCATCACTCGCAGACAGGCATGCCACACACACTTTGACGCCCATGTGCCATTATGCCATTGACTTTTGTCTCATTTTGGTATTACTTTTAGCCAAGTTACTCACTAACACCACCGCATATTAATTCCCCGTTGTCATATGTCAGTCAGCCCCTAATAATACAAGCTGATGCGTGCGTTATGATTACTGTCAGCAGCAGGCACTCAACAAGATAGAGATAAATAAATAGAGAGAGAGTGAGAGAGAGAGAGAGTGAATATACCATGAATAAGCACTCATGGCACTCATATCCTTATGGGCTTATGCCACACACAGAGCTCCACTGCGACTTAAGGTGCCCCGCGGCGCAACTGTGGCAACAACTTTGACTGCGCGACAATTTATCACAGCCAATTTAACCACTTAAGTGTGAAATACGTTGCCAGAGCAAATGTACACTATGCATATGCATGCGATATAATAATATATACACACACACAAACACACACACACACACACACACACACACACACACACACACACACACACACACACACCTCATGAAGTATGCATTCATATATGTAAGTCGAATAAAATGTGGAAAGTCAAGCGCATTTCACAATTTGCAGGCACTGTGCCAATGGCCCCCAGGCGATGTCCTGAATCCAACTGCAAATTGCCACAACGCTGACCACTCAATGCATCACTTGTGTGTGTGTGTCGGTGTGTGTGTGTATGTGTGACTATATCTGTGCATCTGTCTTTGTATATCTGCTGGCGGCATTTATTTGTTTACAATCTGTTTGCGAAAAGCTGCCGCAAAAATTTGCATCTGCATTTTAAGCGAAACGCTGAATATTGTTTTGCATGTGTCTGTGCGTGTGGCATTTGTATTAATTGAAAAAGACAGTTGCAATATACGAGTATTGTCGTAAAATCGCATATTGCTGCGGATTTTCTGGCCAAAAACTATTTATAACCAATTGCATTTTATACGAATTGACACTTAAAGCGTGTCACTTTTTCAATATTATTTTTTGTTGTTTGGCAATGGGCTTAATAAACTCAGGTGAACCACACGGGAATTATTATTAAATTAATTGCCAATTTAAGAAACCATTTAGCATAATGCATTCAATCGACTTGGTTTTATGATCAACAATTGACATTTTAAGTGATTTCCATTATAAACTAAGTAGACAAACCCATTGAAATAATTCTAATCCGTTCACTCATTCAGCTACCTTGTTATACATATTTTCTGTACAATTTAACTGTTTACGGAAAATCGTTTTCCCTTAAAGCATATGGACACTTGAATAGGCCAACTGACAAAGCGTGCGACGCTTTTATCAAATCGGCTTTCAGCCATTCGTCATTCGACACTCGCCATATTTGAAAGTGCAGATTCATGTTTTGTTTTACAAAATCCGTTTAAATCTAAAGAGCAGATGACGTTACAAGCAGCAGTCAGTTAACTGGCTCGCACATGAGCCGGATTTGCAAAGAGTAAAGATGGAGTGTCAGCAGCAGCAGCAGCAGCAGCAGCAGGAGTGAAAGTGCTTACCAAAGCTGCTGAATGGAATTAGCCGCAGTCAATGATGGCTCTGTCAGGTGGCCCAGTCAGTCAACAGCAGGAGACGCAGTTTCAGCAACTGGCCGACAGGCACGTGTTGCGTCGAAATATAATTTTCACACTCATTAAAAATTTGCATAATTACAGAGGAGGGTGCGGCGCCCAAAAAAAACTCGCCTCATTAGCGCATTGCGCATACGCCACGTTGTAGCGTTTTGGCTTTTTGAAGTAGACAACACAACACTCCGACACTTGGCCACTCGACACTCATAACCTGCAGGCGAAACGGGCGGCTGGTTGTTAATTTATGTGGCACAAAGTAAATGAGCTTTTCATGACACTCAAGAGCCGCGGCAGCTAAACGCGAGCCGCGAATGTTGAATGAATTATAAATGCATGGAAATTAAAAACAATTACATGAAATTACATTTTACACCACCGACATAAATATAGTACTACCAGCAGCTAGCTATCCACCATGTCAACAAATAAACTGCGCATAATGATGCTAATCCCTTAAGCCAACCCTCCCTTCCCCCCGCTTCGCCCACACACAAAAAGTGCTATCAATTTGCATTGCGTTTGGCTCATTAGCAACGGCAAATTCGATGGACACTTTTGTGGCAATATAGTACAATTTATTGCTATGAATA